ATTTTATTTTTGTTCCTTTGGTCATTAAAACTTTATTATATTTAATTTTTATCCATATAATAAATATTAAAATTTTATTATATTTGATTTTTTTCTTATAATAAATATTTTTTCTTGGCATTTAGTAAAATTTTATGTTCTTTTTTTGTTCCTATTTTATGATATATTTTTATTTTAGTCATTATAATTTTATCAAGTTTTATTTTTATTCTTACTATACTAAAACTAAATAAAGTTTCACTATCCTAAGCTTTTTTAGATCTTTAATAATAATAATAAGATGCAATAAATTATAAAAAAATAAAAGATAAATTCAAATTATCTCAATTTTTTGAGAGTGTTAAGAAGGTTATATGAATTTCACATGGGTAATTTCATTGTGGTTTTCAAATTTTTTACATATGTGGCTCTCAAAACTAACCTAATTAAACCTGATTAGGTGCTAGGTATTTAGTTATGCAAGTGCTTTGAGAATCATACTAAAGCTAAACACGTAAATTTATATAATTTTTTTAGGCTTCCAAACAAAATATGAGATTATTTCTAATACTTTTCTATTTTTTGATACTTTATATCCAAGAAAAACTAAAAAAATGCTTTATGATCTCAAATTTTTTTGAAAGTAGATTGAATATTTACTAGCATGTGTCGTAAAAATTTCTAGTTTAAAATACCAAAAATTTAAAATTTAAAATTTAAAGAATTTTTGGTCAATGATAACAGTAAAATGAGACATTGTTTGGTCAATTTATGATAGTTTAAGATAAAATTGATCGGATTAATAGTGCATGTCTCGTTTTGTTATACTGCCAATAGTTAAACGATATGAAATTACCATTGAACCCTTTTGAAAGACCCATTTATTATTATTAATTTTTGGTGGTTGGGGGTGGGGTGGGGTCGGCGGCGGCGTGATACAGAACATTATCGAATCCCCTAAAAGTAAAAAAAAATTAGAGATTCCTTTCTATGTAAAATAAAATTATAAAAGTATCTTAGAAAACCTGAAAAAAGAAGAAGTTAAATTAACCGATCTAACAAAGTTTGAAGCAATTTCTATGTAAAAGAAAAATTAAAAAAAAAGGTCACCAAATTATTAGCTTTAAACGTAGAACATTGAAAAGAAAAATATGCTAACGTGACTTTTTAACGGACAAAGTAATTTAATTCTACTAAGGGCAGCGGACCAAGAAGGACAAGCAAATTACCAGGGAAAAGAGTAGATTAATTATACTAAATTAGTTACTATAGTTTTGAGAAATTGTTTATTAGTTCATTTTTTAAAAATTAATTATTTAGCTTTTATATCGATTTTTTTGTATCTTAATCATTTTCATATCTTTCAATTTATTTTTTTATTTTATGAAATAGAAAAAAATAAGTAAAAAACATGAAATAACTGATGAAAAATGTTGAGATTGTTTTTTAAATAAAATAATATTAAATTGATTGTGATAAACACATATTAAAAAACTAAATAATTAATTTTTAAAACAAAGAATACTAATTAATTTATTTCTTAAAAAATAGCAATAAAGAACCTAATAATTGGGACTTAAAAAAAAACTATAACTTAATATGGCTAGTAAAAATTTGGAAAAAAAAAACGACAATTAAACCAAAAATTTTCATGCTGTTCAGGCAAATAAATTATTTCTGAAATCTTACTTTCGCTTTCGCCAATTTTCAGATTCTCTTCACAATGAAAATGACTAATTAGTGGAATTAATGTATTTGCAATAATTGGCCCACTAAAGTACATAGGCGCACGTTAGCTTGTCGGTGCTTGAAATATTTGCTGATTTCTTTTTCTCCGAAAACTAAATTAATTTATTTTTCTCATGGGATAGTTAATAATTTTTCTGAAATCTTTTTGAGCCATGGAAAATTTAACCCCCGCTGTTTGTCAAAGAAATTATGTGTTCTGTTATAGTTGTGTTTGTTGGAGGAAAAATAAATTTTAAAAAAAGTTAATAAAAAATAATTTTCGGCCAATGAAAATGATTGAGTATTTTTAGAAAAATATTTTTTCAGTTTCAAAAAGGAAAATATTTTTCTTCTCACGAGTCTGTCTCGCTATATTTTAACAATTTCTTTACCCATCTTCTTTTTATTTAAAATAAATCAGATTAATTTTTAATTATCCTTTATCAATTATTATTAATTATTTAATTATTTTTTTTCCATTTTATCGAAACTAACATAGTTATTAGGCTTCAAAGAGTTCTATTATCAATGAAGTATAGTTTAAATGACTTTAGTATTGCTCATCGTTTCAAAAGATTTTGAATTCACCCCTATCATTTGTAACGAAAAAAAAAAAAAAAACTAATTCATTTATTTGTTTGTTTTGAGAATTTTCAAAAAAAAAAAAATCGTCTTTATTGTTATGTTTCCATCAAAATTTTAATAAATATTCTAACAAAGCAGCATGTTCTCCTCACCTAAAATCACCAATTTTTTTTTTTTTTTTGTTATGGAAACGAGTATTTATCGAGTTAGTTTACAGATAAATTAAGATTAAATCTTCTTTTTGCATGATTTTAATGATACACTCCTCATATTAGACTAATGCATTCAGAAAAATTAAATTCTTCTATCTATTGACTTTAAAATTTGAACTCAAAAAATCAAAGGAAGGAGCACACTTCCTCAAACATAGATCGATTTTTTTAGATTATCTAAAATCAACTCAACTAGATTTAAAATATTTTTGAGGTTAAATGATATTTAGCAAAAAATGAAGCAAGAATATCGGCAACAAAGAAAATAGTGGATGCGAATAAAAAATTATTTAATTTATAAATAAAAATTTGTTGGGTGTAATTTATAAATGATCTTAGTATAACATGTGAAGAAACAAACTAGTAAAATGATTGAAATGTAAAGGGAAATAAAAATTAGAAAAATACGGGAGTAAATTGGCTTTTAGCAAGGAATAAATTGTCGTGGCTTTGGGACCCTTTACATATTGATTCTAATTTTTTCATATATATTGTGTTGAAATATGACTACCGTAATTCAACACGCTTTAAATCTTCCGAGGAACTAAAAAAAAGAGATTGATTATCAATACAAATGTTTAAATTTTATATCTTATCGAGAAGGTTTTTTTTTTTTTTTTTCTAGTGGTATCTTAAATTAAACAATATTTTAAAATTAGAGGAAAAATTTAAGGTTTGTTAATTATCAAAAAAGACAATTTAGAATTTTTTTTTCTTTTGAGAAAGCCTGATTAGGAATCAGGATTTTTGTTCAGTGGTTTGATACCTTGATATTAATGCCAACATTATGGACAATTCAAGTGGATAAAAAAAAAAAAAAAGAAAACTCATTTAGAAAATCCATAAAATAGAAACAACAATATGCCATTCAAGAGGTCATTAAATACTGTTATAATTATATATAGTATCAATGAAATCACATTTTCTCGTTGGAATAAAAAGGTCACCGAATTATTAGCTTTAGAAAAGAAAAGGATGCTTTAATTAAACGTAGAACATCGAAAAGAAAAAGATGCAAACATGACTTTTTAATGGACAAAGTAATTTAATTCTACCAAGGGCAGCTGCCCAAGAAGGACAAGCAGATTACCAAGGAAAAGAGTGGATTAATCATACTAAATTAGTTACTCTAGTTTTGAGAAATTAATTATTATTTTAATTTTTTAAAAACTAATTATTTAGGATTTATATCTAATTTTCTCGTATCTTAATCTTTTTTTTTACGAAATAGAAAAAAAAACAAGTAAACAATATGAAAGGATTGGTAAAAAACGATGACATTTTTAAAAAGTAAAATAATATTGAATTAAATATGGTGAACAATTATTAAAGAGCTAGATAATTCATATTTGAAAAAAAAATATTAATTAATTTATTTCTAAACAATAAAGGGACTAATTTATAATTTACCCTCATGGATAGAATGGAACTTCCAACTTCTTTTTTTTCTTCATAAAATCAAAGCTTGATCAACACGACCTTTTTTTTCTCTCTCTTTTTTGTTGGTAACGAGTATTTAGAGATAGTGAAATATTATCTCGATTAATTTTTACATTAATTGAAATTAAATTTATTAATTTTTTATAAATTATGATAAATTTTTTATTTTATTTAATAACTTTTGAAACTTTAAATTTCTTATCTAATTTCTAGTAGTAGATAATAAGTGTTTTTCGCGAAGGAATTATGGAGGCATGTTTCTCTTCTTCTTCCTTTTTTTTTTTTTTTTTTTCTCCCTCCCCAAAAGCTCCTTATTGATTTAAAAAAGAAATAAAAATAAATTTTTAGCCTTGCAAATTAAGCAGATAATTCATACTCGAATTGATGCATGGATATAATTTTATAACCTTGTTTAAATATAAGTTCAAAAAAAGAAAAAAAAAACAAAGAACAAAACAACTAGCTGTAAATCTATTTGCCAGGAAAAACATTATTTATTTATTTACCGGGTTAGGGTAGATTCTTTCCTTTTCACCTGCTCCTCTAAAAGCAACCCAAACACGACCTTAACTTAAAGCCACGTAACAATTAAACTCAGAATTAATTATAAATTAGTCTCTCTATTTTTAAAAACTAAATCAATTAGTTCATTTTGTTTCAAAAACTAATTATTTGGTCCTTTTTCTAGTGTTAATTATGCTTAATTTAATACTATTTTATCCTAAAAAAATATTTTCTAATTAATATTTCAACAATATTTTTATTTTATTTTTCTTTTAGAACAAAAAAAAAAACTGGAAAGGAACATAAAAGGTATAATAAGGACTAATTAATTCGTTTTTGAAATAGAAGAACTAATTAATTTATTTCTCAAACACTAAAGGAGTAATTTATAATTTACTCCAAACGCAAAGGAATACATACCGTCTTTTCCTGTCTCCTTTTACCAAAGCAACTCAAAGCACAATATAGATACCAAAACCACATTACCATCATCGCTACCCTCTAGATCTCCCCAACCAAAACCACTGTGACTATCAGGGATCATTGCCAGCAATGGGAGGAGAAGGTGGAATCGGAGGAGGAGGAGCAGAGGAACAGTACGTGACAGCCAAGACGTCAGTTTGGTGGGACATTGAGAACTGTAATGTACCCAGAGGCTGTGACCCTCATGCCATAGCACAAAACATAAGCTCAGCTCTTTCCAAGATGGACTATCGTGGTCCTGTCTCTATTTCTGCTTATGGTGACACTCAGGGTATCAATTCTGCTGCTCAACAGGCTCTTTCTAGTACTGGGATTGCTCTCCATCATGTCCCTGCAGGTTTCTCCTTTTACTTCTACTTTTTGATGATTTGTTTGATAGGGTGTTTGGTTGTCTCTCTCTCTCTGTTTTTTTTTAAAGAAAGATTGGTTCTTGGTCACTGTTTTGGCTTTCTTGTGTTGTTTTGTTTGATTTACTGACGGGGTTATGTAATTTGTGTAAGAGACCGAACTGACTGGATTAGAAATTAAGGGTTTGTTAAGATTTGCAATGTTGTGTAGAATTATAAAGAAACAAAGGGAAATTTGCAATCTTTTGATTCATTTGAAGTTTAGTTTTTGAAATAGGAGAAGTGCAGGTTGACTAGAGATGACTGTGTAAGATTGGTTCTTAGTCACTGTTTTGGCTTTCATGTATTGTTTTGTTTGATTTACTGACGGGGTTATGTAATTTGTGTAAGAGACTGAACTGACTGGATTAGAAATTAAGGGTTTGTTAATATTTGCAATGTTGTGTAGAATTGTAAAGAAACAAAGGGAAATTTGCAATCTTTTGATTCATTTGAAGTTTAGTTTTTGAAATAGGAGAAGTGCAGGTTGACTAGAGATGACTGTGTAAGATTGGTTCTTGTTCACTGTTTTGGCTTTAATGGTGTTGTTTTGTTTGATTTACTGACGGGGTTACGTAATTTGTGTAAGAGACTGAACTGACTGGATTAGAAATTAAGGGTTTGTTAATATTTGCAATGTTGTGTAGAATTGTAAAGAAACAAAGGGAAATTTGCAATCTTTTGATTCATTTGAAGTTTAGTTTTTGAAATAGGAGAAGTGCAGGTTGACTAGAGATGACTGTGTAAGATTGGTTCTTGGTCACTGTTTTGGCTTTAATGGTGCTGTTTTGTTTGATTTACTGACGGGGTTACGTAATTTGTGTAAGAGACTGAACTGACTGGATTAGAAATTAAGGGTTTGTTAAGATTTGCAATGTTGTGTAGAATTATAAAGAAACAAAGGGAAATTTGCAATCTTTTGATTCATTTGAAGTTTAGTTTTTGAAATAGGAGAAGTGCAGGTTGACTAGAGATGACTGTGTTGCAACATGAATAGGATGTTTTGGTCTGCATGTGTGGTTTTGTGAACATTGAAGTCTTTTGAGTTGTTCATGTGTTACATTGTTGGAGAGTTGATTTTCATAATTTTATATTGAGTTAATAGGTGTTAAAGATGCAAGCGACAAGAAGATTCTTGTTGATATGCTGTTCTGGGCAGTGGACAATCCGCCGCCGGCTAATTATTTGTTAATTTCTGGTGATCGAGACTTCTCTAATGCTCTTCATCAGTTGAGAATGAGGAGATATAACATTCTTCTAGCACAGCCCCAGAGAGCATCCGCACCCCTCGTGGCTGCTGCAAAGAGTGTATGGCTTTGGGCGAGTCTTTTGGCTGGAGGACGGCCACTCACTGAAGTTGAATCACAACAACTAGAAAGGGGTGGCGATAGTAAAGCACAGATTCCAGTGTCTGATGCCATAAAGCAACCAGTAGATGTAGCAAATCAGAAGTCTCCTTCCACAGCAAGGAGTGGCGATAGTAAACAGAAAGGAAAAAACATCCAAAGAAGCCCGAGCCAAACAAATGTGTTAGAAAAAACAAGCACGCCTCTTCTCCCCAGTCCCCCTCCTGCAATGAATGTGAGGCCCTACGGAACTAGCTTTAGTTCTGCACCATATATAATTGTGCCTCCTTGGGGTAATTTGAACAATTCTGGACGCCCCTTCAAGTCTAGCCCTCAGCGACAAAATCCAGAGCTAAAACATGATCCCAAGAAGAAACCGGACATTCAAAACAGGAAGAAATCATACGGTGAAAACTCAAAAGGATCTTGTGCAGGTAAAGGACCAGAACCAAGTCAAAACAAGAAGAAACCAAGAAGTCGAAACAAGAAGAAATCAGATGGTGAGAACTCGAAAGGATCTTGTGCAGGAAAAGGACCAGAACTAAGTCAAAACTTGAAGAAACCAGACAGTCAAAACAAGAAGAAAGCAGAGAGTCAAAACTCAAAAGGGTCTTCTGCAAGTAGAGGACCAGAGGTAAAACATGATACCAAGAAACCAGACAGTGAAACCAAGAAGAAAGCAGAGAGTCAAAACTCAAAAGGGTCTTCTGCAAGTAGAGGACCAGAGGTAAAACATGATACCAAGAAACCAGACAGTGAAAACAAGAAGAAACAAGTAGAGGAGAAGAAACCAGACAGTGAAAACAAGAAAGTGGCTCGTGCAAAAAAAGGTGTTTCTGTGAAAAAATCAGTCGCTCCAAGATCAATAAAGCATGTTAGCGTTACAAAACAGGACAAAGGAAAGAAAAACCCGCCTGCGAAGAGAGGGAAAGTAAAACAGAAATGACATGGAAAGTGTTTTAGCAAGCTTAAACTTCTGATATTTGCCTTATGGTATGGCAGCACCATAGCTGCCCCTTTCCTCTTTGTGTGCAATGCTTCACATGTGGGCGTTAGCTTTGATCTTTAATTATCTTTGTAATGTGCAATGCTTCATCTGTGGTTTTTCTTGAATGAAGGCCTGTTTGCATAATATATATATACACACAGACACTCCATAATTTTCATATCTTGCCTCCTTATTGTTGCCAAATTGCTAGTGACATTTTCGAGCTACCATTCATGCTTCAACCAACCGGGCAACTATATTATTCAGTTTTGTTTCCTTCTCCAGGAGAAATGGTCTAATTTTAGGTCGATTCATTAAAAAAAAAATGATTTACACGTGATTGATTTTTTAAAAAAGAAGACAAAAAATTGAGTTCTTTCGAATGATACGTGTAACATATTCATAAGTAAACATAAAAAAACTTAATCGATATAGGAAAAAGTTCAGGATTTCAATGGAAATCATCCAAGAGCAAAACTCAATAATTTATAATTAAGTCAACTGTAATGCATGTTATTAGCCCATCGAAAAGGCATATCTAACAAAGGAAATGAGGACTTTCTTCCCTTCTTCTTCCTCGTAATACCTGAAAAATGCTAAGACTTCTTCCATGGTTGACATGGCATATGATGATTGGTAATTGATACATGTCAGAACGTGATTCATTGGTTTCATAGACTCAAACAATGCATGATGATCCACCAAACACCCACTTGACTATGAGTCAAAACTGTAATCTGATATTATACAAATAACGAACGAGTCATCCTTTAAAAAAAAATTTAATAAAAATATTTGATTGATAATTTTAAAAATCTATATATACCCAACGTGACGGCAAGAGTTTGAGATAGTCTACCTAATCTCTCACTTTTTCTTAAAAAAAAAAAAATATATCATGGGCCTTTTCCAATGGGATAGTTTGTACGTGTTAGACCAACAAGTTTTCCAAGTTATAATGGAAAGTTTAATGGCAAACCTTAAAAAAAAAAAAAAAAAACTATGAGGAGAATTTAAATTAGATCCCTAACTTTTATTTTTATCTCATTGCATCCTTTCATTAGTTTTATTTAACAAAACCGTTAAATAATCATATAAAAATCAAGTGATTTTTTTTCCTACAAATAACTCATAAATTTATTAAATATCTCCATCATCACGCAATAAATAGACGCACACACATATAAGGAACTTTATGTTTCTTCGTATAGTCTGGTCTATTATATAAGTTTTACTTGATGTAAAAGCTAAATTTTAGGGAATTCGACATTTTTTCAATGAAAAAATAAATCCTTTAGGTTTTACACATATAATATATTTTTAAACAATAGTATGAGAAATCATCTTTCCATACTTTTTGAAGTAGAAGTTTAGTATACATATAAACCTGCTTTTATAAATATCATCCTTAGCCAATACGTTTTTATATTTTTAATTGCTTTACTTTAAAACAATACAGTAAAAGTTAGAAAAATAAGGGACCAAATAAGCTTTTAGTAAAGAATGAATCGTCATGGCTTTGTGGGGCCTTTACGCGTGGAGCCGCCCCAAGTCTCATCCTTTATTTTCTTCTTTTCTTCGACTAAAGGGCACTTCCGACTGAGAACGGACAAGCAAATCCCCGTGGAAAGAAACTTCCAGGTCACTTTTACTTTTCATTCCCCTTTATGGTTCTATGCTTTCTTGGCAAATTATTTGTTTCCCAAATCATACGTTCGCATTTGCCCGATATTCAGATTCTTTCCTCATTATCTCATCTCTTTTTTTCTTTTCGAGTTATATTATAAATAGACTGCTATTGAATTTAAAAAAATCTAATTTTTAAAGGTAATAAAAAAAAAGATGCATTTGATATTAATATAATCTAATAAATAATAAACTTAGATGGTGTTTGATAAAACTGAAAATTAAGTGCTGAATCTATTAAGTATCGAATTTTAAATGCTGAATCAGTAAGATCGACCAGTGTTCTCGATAGTTTGTTTGGTATTTACTCGAAAATTAAATACTCGAATATAATAAGCTCGTTTGAAGATGATAGAATATATATGATATTTTTTAAGATTTTAGTTTGAACATATGTATCCGATTATATTACTCTTATTGTTTAAAATTTATTTTTTTAATTATTTTTTTTAACTAAAATTCTCATCAAATTAAGTTTTGATATAATTTTATTTATTAATAAATTTGATTTTTTAATATATAAATTTTAAAATAAAATTTTATAACGTCGATGTTTTATTTTTTAAAAATATATTATTATAATTTAGATAATAAATTATTTTTATGCTTTTTAAATGAGTATTTTATTAATAAGATTGACTAAACAAATTTGCCATAATTAGCCAAGAAAAAGGGCAGTCTTGACGCACAAGCAGCAGCCAACAATACAAGTCAAAACAAATTTCTTTTAGACCGTAGGAGGTAATTGATACAAACAAAACCTCACGGGGGAAATTGACAAAACACATCAAACTCCAGGGAGTAAAATAAAAAGTTTACCCAATTATTTATCTTTCTTAAGATGCACCATTTCGTTCCGTACAAATTGTAACCAGCAAGCTATAGCCTAGCCCCTATAGTTTAATAGCGTTAATCAATTAGTATTTATGGTTTTAGAATTTACATAATTTATTTCTTCGTTTTAAAATCCGTTCACAACTCAGTTCTTTCATTAATTCTATACTATTTTTCATTTTATTTTGTTTTTTTTCTTTCTAGGAAATAGAAAAACTAATTAAACGAAGAGATTTATTAAGGAAAGAAGGCAATTGTAGGAAGAAAAAAACTAAATTGAAAATGATCCATGCCTGTCATGAAATTATTTAATTTTTTTTTATACTACAAGAATTAGCTAATTGGTTTCGGAAACCCTAAGGACTAATTTATAATTAACTCAATCGAAAGGGCATCCCTAGGAATGGAAACGAGGACTTTATATTCCGTTCTCAGTCCTCATAAATGCCTAACATTGCCAAGACTTCTTGTGTTGCTGACGTGGCATACGATGATTGGTGTGTTAAAACAAGATTCGTTGGTTTCTCGGACATAAAAAGTCATCCATGCATTATGGTCTACCAAACAAACCAGTTGACTCCAAGTCCAACAATTAATTAGAAAACCATTTGTTTGACTAAACCAAAGCTTGACCAGACTAAACCATTTTTCTTTCTTTTAAAAAAAAACTTTTGAAAATTTCTTATGTGGTTTGAGGTCTTAAACGTTGTTTGGCAATACTTTTAGTTGTTTTGCTTGAGCAAATAAGTGTTTAGTAAGGAAATTTAGGTTTCATTGCACAATAAATAGGAGTAAATTATAAATTAGTCTCTCTAATTTTGATAAACGGATTAATCGGTTCTTTAAATAATTATATAATCTTTATATTTTTAAATTTTCTTTTAATTTATTATTTTAAAAATATAAAGATAAAAAATTGATGAAAAAATGATTTTTTTTAAAATAAAATAATATTAAATTAATTACGATCAATATTGATCAATAGACTAAATAATTAATTTTACAAGCATAAATGTGACTACTTAATTCGTTTCTCAAAAGACTAATTTATCACTTACTCTAAGAAATAAGTGAAACATGCTTTGTTTGTTTTACACACACATAATTTATATAGGATTTAATAATTTTATGTAGTGTTTTTATGTATTTCAAAAAAATAAATGAGATTTTTTTTTAAATTGACGTCACTAATGAAGTTTAATTTGCAAAGATTTGTGATTTGTTTTTATTGAAATAAAATTAAATCATTTGAGTATTCGTATATGTTTTTGCATAAACTCATCATTCCCAAGATGATAATAAGAATTAAATCTACTAATCATCTGAAACGAAACCATAAAGCTAATTTTTTATTTTTGATTTTTAAGTCAATTTCTTCTCAAATTATTATTATTATTTTTTTTCAGCTGAATCTTAAACAAAATTTTCATACCCGAATTTTTTATAAAAAGAAAAATTGCAAAAACTCGAAGAAATTCCAACATAACTAAAAGAATATTTTCACACTAACTCGTATATCGATAGATATTCAATTATTTTCTTAAGTGCACTTCACATTCAAGGTCACAACCGTAATTTAACTTTTCCTCCACGAACCCTTCTTTTTCTTCTACTACTTCTCCCCGAACAACGCAAAGCATAGCATAGATACCAAAACCACAATATCACCCTCCAAATCTCCGCGACCAAAGCCCTCGTGATTATCGGGGATCTTTGCTAGCTATGGGAGGAGAAAAAGGCGGAGGCGGAGTCGGAGGCAGAGCAGAGCCACAGTATGTGACTGCCAAGACTTCAGTTTGGTGGGACATTGAGAACTGTAATGTGCCCAGAGACTGTGACCCTCATGCCATAGCACAAAACATAAGTTCAGCTCTTGTCAAGATGAATTATTGTGGTCCTGTCTCAATTTCTGCTTATGGTGACACCCATCGGATCAATTCGGCTGTTCAACAGGCTCTTTCTAGTACTGGGATTGCCCTCAATCATGTCCCTGCAGGTATGCTGATTTTACTTGTACTTTTTGGTGATTTGCTTGATGGGGTGTTTGGTTTTGGTTTTTTCTTTTTCTCTCGTTGATTTGTCAAGAAAGATTGGATCTCGGGCAATGTTTTGGTGTTCTTGGTACTCTTTTGTCTGATTTTGTGATGGGGTTATGTAATTTTTTGTAAGAGACTGAATTGTCCGGAACAGAAAGGGTTTGTTAAGATTTGCAATGTTGTAGAGAATTATAGAGAAACAAAAGAGGAATTTAGGATTTTTTGAATCATGGGTGATTTCCTTTATTAGATCTGAAATTTTGTTATTGAAATAGGAGAAGTGCAGGTTGATTATTTGTGAATGTGTTATAACATCAGCAGGATGTTTTGGTTTTTGATATTGGGTCTTCTGTGCTGTTAATTTGTTATATTGTATGAGAGTTGATGTTTGAATATTGTTTTCGCCCTAGTTCATAATTTTGTATGTGAATGAACAGGTGTTAAAGATGCAAGTGACAAGAAGATTCTTGTTGATATGTTGTTCTGGGCGGTGGACAATCCTGCGCCAGGTAATTATTTGCTAATTTCTGGTGATCGAGACTTTTCTAATGCTCTTCATCAGTTGCGAATGAGGAGATATAATATTCTTCTAGCACAGCCCCAGAAAGCATCTGCGCCCCTTCTAGCAGCAGCAAAGAGTGTATGGCTTTGGACGAGTCTTTTGGCTGGAGGACCGCCACTCACTGAAGGTGAATCACAACAACTTGGTAGTAATAGCTATGCGCCCATTTCAGACACGCTACAGATTCCAGTGTCTGATGCTGCTCAATTAAAACAACCAGTGGATTCCTATTCTGAGAATCCGTATTTGGCAAATCAGAAGTCTCCTTACACAGCAAGGGGTTATGACAATAAACAGAAAGGGAAAAACATCCGAAGAAACCCAAGCCAAACAAATGGATCAAAAACAACAAGCACGCCTCATTGGACCCAAGAAGATCAACATAATTCAAGCTCTCACCACCCTGGTCCTTACTTCCCCCGAGGTCCCCCAATTGGACCTGCTCCGGATTTTGTTCCTGGAAATAATGATTTTAATTGGAGTGATGTCACCTGTGTTAATAGTAACAACCATCATTATTTTACACAGCAAGTAAGGCCAAACCATTCAGCAGTGCGACCTGAATTTGCAGCAGGTGGTTTCTATCCTCCCCTCCTAATCTTCAGCCACGTGCTCCTCCTCCAATGCCTGCCAGGCCCAATGGAACTAGCTCTACCTCTGCACAATATACAAGTGTGCCTGATATTGGTAATTTGGGCATTTCTGGGCATCCCATCAACTTTAACCTTCAACGACGAAATCCAGATCTAAAACATGATCCGAAGAAGAAACTTCCCAGATCTGTAAGCTCAAGTAACTCACAAAATGGAAATATGACACATAACTCACCATCAATCTACCAGGATGAGAAGCCAAACAATTGGCACCCTGGTCGTCCAGAATATCCACCATCATCTTCATCAGCAGTGGGGGCCACTACTGCTCCTGCGAGTGTTATATGGGGGAGTCCAGGATACCCAAAACCTTCTGAATATGTTCAAGGCCTTATAGGAGTGGTCTTGCTGGCGCTCAACACCCTTAAAAGTGAAAAGATAATGCCAACTGAAGCAAATATAGCTGACTGCATCCGATATGGAGATCTGAAGCACCGTAATACTGACATTAAGAAGGCCCTTGAGAGTGCCATTGAGCATCAGATGGTAGTGACGCAGAGATTAGGTGCTATGCAGTTTTACGTTGGTAAAAATGAGAAACTCTGGAAATGTGTCAACCCTATTGGTGGTAACCCTAAACAGATACCAAAAGCAACATGGGATGAAATTCAGCAATTTCTGACATCCGCTGCTGGACGATCTGCAATCTTGGCTTCTCAGTGCAGGTAAAGCTCACCTCGTTTTCAACTCAGTTTGATTTCTTGAGTGTCATTTCTAACTGTGAAAATGCTCTCGTATTTCTCATGCATTGCACAGGTATGAAGCAGGTACTATTATAAAGAGTATGTGCTTGAGAGAACATGCTCTGGGTGATATACTTCAGATCTTGAACATGGCAATTGGCTATAAAAAATGGATCATAACTCATCAATCAGGATGGAAACCACTTAAAATTGTTCTAGCAGATGAGGCCAACAACGATTCATGGTCCATAGACGATTCATGGTCCACAGACGGCACATAATGTTAACAATGGTAAGGGGAAGGAGCCTGCAGATGGAGGGCAAAGGGGTAGTTGTTCAATGATGCTTGGTTGGGATTGGGGTTGGTATAAAATAGGCTCCTTGTCCTTATAATTAGAGAACAGGTAGTAATGATTAGAGTTTATTTATATTGGTATGTTTAGTGCATAAGAATGGCCATCTTATATTAATTTTTTGTTGCTAGAGAAGTTTTTAAGTTTATCTAGAGGGAAAGTTAAAAGAAGTGCTTGGAGTCAAGGAGACCATTTTCAGGGGGGCACATTTACTAGGTGCTAATTTACCCACTTAATGCAGCTAGGTCTTCCTTTCAAAGTGTTGGTAGTGCAATGGGGTGGTGGCCTTCATTCCATTCTTGAACGTCTCTCACATCTCCAGGATTTTGCTTGGTTAGCATGAAACCTGAGCTTTCGATTCAACCCATCTACAGAAACTTTACAGACGAAGATCTTATATTCTTCTACTATATATGCCTTTTAACAAATTATACATGACCACCCAATAGCCTCTTAAGGTGTTGCTGTGAGATTGTTGTTACTTGTCTACTAAAACTTTTGGTGGAGTTGGTGTGCAGAAATCCGTTGATATAAGTTGTATGCTAACAATGGAAAACCAGAATCTGCTGTTTGCTCATTTACTTGTATCCTTCAAGATGATTCTCTGAGCTTGACTACTGGGTGGAAAGAGAGGATGGAAGTCAAGTGATAAAAGCATCAAGTTACTCAGCAAAGAAATATGTAATTTATGCAACTATGCAAATTTGGAAGGTTTATATGAGAAATTAACCTATCATCTCTCACCATGATTTTGTCACGAAGATATGAAGTCGGATTGGAGGAACTCGACGACTAAGGATGGGTGTATGCTGCAGGGATTGGATGCTAAAATTCTCTCTCTCAAAGTGTTGTCTAACTAGGTCATTGAAAAGGTGACGTTCAAGCAACTTCTCTGGTTGAAACCTTTTTTTTATCTTCCTACTGTTTGCTGCAACTATCAATGGTACATACTCCAATAAAGAGGTTTGAATATTCATACATGCTTGAGGTGCTGCTTGCTGAACATTTTGTGTGTACCTTCTAGTTCTCTGGCGCTTGTACGACTTTGATGGATATGTAAGCATTTATATGAAAAATGATATTAGCGGAGTCTTTCTTCCTTTAATCATTCTCTTTAAGAGAAATAGTCTCTCTTTTTAGCCCCTTTACTCTTCTGGGTGTCGTTGCCACAGCTGTAGTTACTTGTTCTTGGAACTGAACAAGGCTGTAATTTTGTGTGTGTTTTATGTAGCCCAATAAACAGCAAGGGCGGACAATGATGTGCTGCATTACTATCATTCACAGGCAACTATGTGTCTTCATGAATTTGGATTATGTTAGCAAAGAAACCAACACTAATTATCCCAATTGTAAAAACATTCCAGGAACTACTGCTTCAGATTAATTTCTGCTTCCACCACCAGCTGCTAGCTGGGAGAACGTTCTGATCGGATGGTGACTATTTACCAATGTTTTTTAGGGAAACTTTTGTGATTATGAGTAAAGATCATGAGGAAGAGAGTAAGAACATTTATCATAGCCAAATTTTTAGTGATTATTGAAAATTCACGTACCAAATGCTTATCTTTCTTGAGATAAATGAATACTTACGTCTCGTTATCGGAAGTAACAAGTGGTGATTAATGTGGCACTAATTGCATTCATTCATAAAATTAGAAGTAAAAGCTTTACCCTAACCCTAACCAGTAGAGTATATTGAAAGAAACTGTAAGCGTTAAGGTATGTTATGTCCATCGCAACTTGCTGCTCCCGCAGGCTCGGGAAACCCTACCTTGCTTCCCACTTTTGTCCACCCAATACCATAAATATTAAAATTTCAAAATTGACCTTTTAAAGTAAATTTTTTTAGTAATTATGTAATGAGAAAAAGACTATTTTTATTGTGTAATCCAAAGCCCATGAACCCACTGATAAATTAAAAAAAAAAAAAACACAACAAAAAAGGAAAAAGAGTTTTAGAGGGTTTAATGCTTTAACGAAGGCTGCCTTTTTTAGTCTCTAAAACCCTAGCAAGCTAGTCTTAAACCCTCATGCTTCTCAAGCCTGACAAATTAAAGCCCCCCACCATGGCAGCTTCTTCGTTGCTCCTTCGCTCTCTCAGACATCGAAACCTTCATTCTGCTTCTCTCTTTGCCTACAAATCTGTACGTATGCTTGCGTATATTTTTACATATATATATATATGTAGGTTTCTGTATTCTGTGGAAGTTCAAATCTGTTTTTCATCCCGGCTGATTTTTCTTTTAGAGCATAAGGTTCATTATTTATTTATTTATTTTTTCTGATTCATATAATGCTTGTACTTTAAATTAATTTGTAAAATGAATTCTCATGTTTCTATTTTTACATAATAATTGAAACTGCTCATTAGGAGCTAGAACTTGCATATTACGTTTGCCATTTTATCATTAAAGATGACCATCATCAAGCTAGTTTCATTTTTCTTCTACAGGTGATTGCAGGCAATGCAAAGACATCACCTTTGGTTAGCAAACGGGCACCTTTGGCAAGGCCTTTTGGGTATTTTTCATTGTTTTTCACTTTGCTCTATCTCAAAACGAAACTTCTGCGATTGCTGTGGTAATATTTCTTCGTTGATAATGCAGTTCAAGGCCTGCCGGCAATGATGTTATTGGTATTGACTTGGGCACCACCAATTCATGCGTTGCAGTAATGGAGGGAAAGGTTAGCTTTTCAGTCACTTTGATAACTAATTATATAATTCTGATTCTTCCCAATAGAATTAACTACTTATAGTGTGTTTTTGGCGAGCTGGTTGGAAGTGTTTTTGGCTCAAAACCATCGAAAAGCACCCCAAACCACATCAATTTGGTGCCTTTTCGACCCAAAACACACTTTGATGCGCTATGAATGCAATATGAAATGAGCTTTTAATAATTTTCTATATTCAGAATGCTAGAGTAATTGAGAATGCTGAAGGAGCTCGAACTACACCATCAGTGGTTGCCTTCGGAAAGGCTAACGAAATAATCACGGGAACTCCAGCCAAACGTCAAGCCGCCACCAATCCAACAAACACATTTTTTGGGACAAAAAGACTCATAGGCAGAAAATTTAGTGACCCGCAGACACGGAAAGAAATCAACATGGTGCCATATAAGATCGTTGAAGCTTCCAATGGTGATGCTTGGCTTGAAGCCAATGGACAAACGTATTCTCCAAGTCAGATCGGTGCTTTTGTTCTCACCAAGATGAAAGAACATGCAGAGGAATACCTTGGGAAAACTGTATCCAAAGCTGTGATCACTGTTCCTGCTTATTTTAATGATGCACAGAGACAAGCAACTAAAGATGCCGGGAGGATTGCTGGTCTTGACGTTCAGAGAATTATTAACGAACCAACTGCTGCAGCACTGTCATATGGGATGAACAACAAGGAAGGAGTAATAGCAGTATTTGATCTTGGAGGTGGAACTTTTGATGTCTCCATTCTAGAAATTTCAAATGGTGTATTTGAGGTCAAATCAACAAATGGCGACACCTTCTTAGGAGGGGAAGATTTTGACAACACTCTTTTGGACTTCTTGGTCAGTGAATTCAAGTCGGGTGAGGGAATAGATCTTTCAAAGGACAAGCTTGCTCTTCAGAGACTGCGAGAGGCGGCTGAAAAGGCCAAGATAGAACTCTCATCTACATCACAGACTGATATCAACCTGCCATTCATAACTGCTGATGCTTCGGGAGCAAAACATTTCAACATGACTTTAACCAGAGCAAAGTTTGAGGCTCTGGTGAATGACTTGATTGAGAGGACAAGAAATCCATGTAACAACTGTCTGAAAGATGCTAAGCTAAGCATCAAAGATGTAGATGAAGTTTTGCTTGTTGGAGGCATGACCCGTGTTCCCAAGGTGCAGCAGGTGGTTTCTGAAATTTTTGGGAAGATCCCTAGTAAAGGGGTTAATCCTGATGAGGCGGTCGCAATGGGAGCTGCAATTCAAGGTGGCATCCTTCGTGGCGATGTTAAGGAGCTGCTTCTGTTAGATGTAACCCCTCTGTCACTCGGTATTGAAACACTTGGTGGAATTTTCACCAAGTTGATCAACAGAAACACAACCATTCCAACAAAGAAATCTCAGGTTGGTTATTCATTCATTTATCTGTGGATTACGTAGGAGTAGCAAGTGTAATTTTGTTGAATGTTTCAGATAAAATGTTCATCTTCTATGCTCTATATCCTTGTAGGTTTTCTCTACAGCATCTGACAACCAGACTCAAGTAGGGATTAAAGTACTTCAAGGTGAGCGTCAAATGGCAGCTGACAACAAGCTTCTTGGTGAATTTGAGCTTGTCGGCATCCCACCTGCACCTAGAGGTATGCCACAAATAGAAGTTGCATTCGACATTGATGCCAATGGAATCGTCACTGTTTCTGCCAAGGATAAGGCTACGGGAAAAGAGCAGCAAGTTACAATTAAATCATCTTCAGGGCTCTCAGATGATGAGATTGAAAAGATGGTAAGAGAAGCAGAGATCCATTCTAAGAGAGATGAGGAGAAAAAATCTCTGATTGACTTGAGAAATAGTGCTGACACAACCATATACAGCATTGAGAAGAGCTTGAATGAGTACAGGGACAAAGTTCCACCTGAGATTGCAACAGGGATAGAGACAGCTGTGGCCGATTTGAGGAAATCATTGGTTGGTGAGAACATTGATGAAATCCAAGCAAAGATTAATGCTGCCCAAACGGCTGTTTCAAAGATTGGAGAGCACATGTCCAAAGGGTCTGCTAGTTCTTCCTCTGAAGGTTCTCAGGGTGGTGATCCAACCACAGAAGCAGAATATAAGGAAGTTCGAAAGTAGAGGCTGTGTCAGTTACTTGGCAAGATGGTGGGTTTTGTCTAATGGAATGACTTGATTTGTTCTTGCTTTATCAATTTTATCTCTCTTTATATGTTTTGGAACTCTTGGTGCTGCAGGTTATTAGGTACTCCAGATGAGGAAATGTGGCCAGGAGTAAGCAGCTTGTTCAATTGGCATGAATATTTTGATCTTCAACCATGTAGCTTCTTAGTAAGAACTCTATGCCATGCATGTGTTATCAAAATGGCGATATGGAGCTTTCCTAGACAAATGAAGTAAAAAAAAAAAAGAGAAAATTCTCCTGAAATATCTCCATCACAGTGAATCTAATGATTTCTGTTTTTCCAAACATAATAGATGCACGAGCACCAAGCAAGTCATAGCAGCTAAGCCAAAAAAAAAAAAAAAAGAGGAAAGAAACAAAAGAAAACATTGTTTCTGCAGAGACCGAATGACCCAACACAATTCAGAATTTCAGTCCTCCACCTCTGTTTATCTTGGTCAGAACTAAACTTGCTGCTATACTCCTTTAGTGATAGCACATGAGAAGATATGATCACGATCTTCATTAGTACTGCTGCATAATTCACAAATAGGATTTGATTGCTTCCTCCTCTTCAATTGTCTGCATTTGGTAGAGAGTTTACTAAAATGGATAGCCAGCTGATAAAGCTATAACCACAGGATATGCAATGGCTTCCAAATCAACCTAGACCAATTTACTTTGACCCTTTTTACCGTGATGATCTCCCAGCACCCTTTGCTGTGAACCATCCATTAGGACTAGGCTTCCAAATCACACTGCGCTTGATTAATGGGCGAGGATGAATAAGGCCACAAATAGCACTCTGCACATCATCTCCATATCATTTGACCTAGAAACAGGTCAATGCCAATCTTCATTGCTTATCACCTCAGAAAGCTTGGCATTTGAAGTGAAGCCACTGCTATCACGATCCGAGTGCCATAGGATTTAGCAAGAGGACCATGAGCATGCTGATGATCCCACCACAAGTAGAAGTTTTCACCGTTCCCCACAGTTTGCACAATCTAATCCCACAAAATACTTCTGAGCTTCAACAATTTCTTCCAATTCCAAGAGCAATCAATTTGCTGTGAACTGTCCATTAGGTCTTTACCAACTCGTGCAAGCTAAAAATGATGTCTGTTCAGAGTTCATCTGACTTGCATTCCTGCTTGAGGATGCCCTCTTTCTCCTCTTGTTCTCTGGCTTCACAGATCCTTCATCTCCATTAGGTTCGGGCCTATTTTTCTCAATTCCATTTTCTTCCATATGTTGTGTTGGCATCCTGCATGTTTCACGGTGCAAAAATCAGTGACGCAGTCTTGTCTCTGAATCCCATCACATAACCACCAAGAGACTGCACTCATATAGGAATCCAGAAAGGATTGGAATGTGACTTCTAATGCATTTTAAAGCTGGATATGACAGCTGGATCCGTACGATTTTATGATCAGTAATAAGCTATGTTGCATTGGCACACAAAAATATAGAAACAAATTGCACCGGGTTGCTCAAATATGTAATGAAGATGCAGTAAATCTGTACAATGCTAACTTCTCGTTGAGCAGAATTTCGTATAGAAGGGAAAATATCATACCCCTTACCTCTACAGGAATCATTCCCTACCAAATGAAGTAAAATAAAACCAGAAAATTCAATTTTTAAATCATGGTGATTTGGAATTTTGCTATGGAAAATTGTCATTTTAGGCAAAGTAGACAGTTTACTAAGGGAGACTAAATTGGCACAATAATATAAATAGATCCAAACCAAACAACAAAAAGGAAATGTAATTTACCTCTGTTGAGAGAGCCAGCAAAAACACAACAATGTTGCACCTAACAACATGAGCCATGAGAACAAAATTACCCGAAAAGAAATATACAGGCAAATGAAACAGGAATATATAATCTGTTTGGTAAGAATTAAAACAATCACCTTCCACTTTACCACTAACACGTTCTAATAATGGTGTGATAATGAAGAGAAAGAGGCTAGGCAATTTTCAAAATACAACAACCCTAACCACCCAAAAATAAAAAAATAAAATGGATAAAAGACTTGCAAATGGAGATGGAGGAGAGGAGAAAAGAAAGAGCACGAAGAATAGATAAAAAAGTGGAAGTTAGAATGAAGAAACCAAAACAATCCAATGAAGAAACAGGACCTTCAAAACCACCATCGTACTCATAAGAACATTACTGAGGTAACCAAAAGAAAGCATAAGTCAAAACTCTCAAGATAGCACAAAAATCCAGTGGAATTTGAAAAAGAAACCAGGTAAAGAATCTTCAAATCAGGCATCCAAAAGGCCACAAAAGTTGGATTGAGTAAAGAATCATCAAATCAAGCATAAAACGGGCCTAAGAATCTGGAAGTGACACTAATGATTTATTGCCAAGGCAAAATCTGAGTAAACTGACCAAGTGATAATGTTTGAGAAAACTAGAGAAACTCACTCCTTTCCATTCAAAGCAAAAACAAAAAAATAAAGAGAGAACAACATGTCACCTCTAGTCAACTTTAAGTTCCAGGCCACCTGAAAAAATCAGAATGACCATACTGATTAGTAGATCTATCACATGCAGAAGTATTGCCCTGGTCATGAGCTGCTATCCCACAGTTAGAATCATAGTTGCATTACAGTTACTAAGAAGGAAAAAAATGCAAATGCAGATTGATTCCAAGATTTTTAGAACATAAGGCGCCGTTTATGTAATAACTTTGTTGGTTAAGGCAGAAATTCTTCAAAATTTTCTCGGTTAACAGACAACACTTCTTTGAGTTATTTGACAAAAGAAAAAACAAGCTGATTCTCATCAAGTGTCGGTGTCCATGGCATCAGATCCAGCCATGAAATAGTAAAGTTGTATGAAGATGAAAAGAGGGTGGGAAATGCCAGAAGTTTCCCTACAACGGAAACAAAAGAATTAACCACCCAATTTATGATATTTGCTTTTGCTATTTAGTTACTAAAGAAAAAGTAAAAATTTTCTGGTAAAAAAAAAAAAAGAAAAGAAAAAGAAAAAAAAATGAAAAACAAGAAAAGAAAAAGAACCCTCATCTGGATGAGAAAGGTGCCACATTTGTGGTTGACAGATAATTCAAGAAATTGAATAACATGGAAGGAGAAAATACGATAAGCAAATACAGGAAAACGGATTCAAGCAAGACAATAAGAAATCTCATCACAAAGACAAAAGATTACCATTGCAGGTTGACCATTTGGGTTCAGCAACAATGTTTCCAAAATTCAGTGAAAGCAGATTCATGTTTCCCCCAAGCCCTCAGCTAGTATGTCGCTAACATCATCTTTGATGCTAAGATCAGCATATGTCAATGTCCCATCACCTTTTTCCTCCGTATTATCAGAACCAATCAGCAACCCATGGGTCATAGCATCTGGGACCCAACCATTCTCCAACATCAAGTCTAACAATCGGTGAGCCTCCTTTTTTTACCCTCTTTCCACATACCATTAATGAGTACATTATACATGGCCGAATCTAGAATTTCAGAGTCAGAAACAATTTTATCAAGAGTAACTGAAATCAAACACAACTTAGAATGATTGGCCAAACATGACAGTAGATTATATAATGTGTCTGAGTCAGGTACAAAACCCTCATTAACCATCATATTGAGAAACATAGCACACTTCTTTATTTGATTCTGTGCAATCATGCTCTGTATCAAAACACAATATGTTTCCATATCAAGATTGCTACCCTGAACCAACATTCGTGAGAGAAATGCTAGCATATGCTTTCCATTGTCTGATTTAGATAATCCGAGCATTATATAATTGTATGTAGCATTGGCACAAGAAGTACCAGAATTATAAGCCAACAATTGTAGCCTGACAGCTTCGTTAAACATTCTCATGCTACAAAGACCCTCAATCAGCATATTAAACGAAAAAGACTGAAGAGGACATCTGTTCTCAGACATGTAGCAAAACACTTTCACAGCCTCTAGACACTTTTCTCCCCTGCATAGTCCTTCAATCAGTGCAGAGTAAGAAGCAGGATCTAAAATCCAGCACTTGGCATGAAGCTGAAGAAATAGCTGTAGAGCAACTTCATACTTGCTTAACCTACAGTTGCCAGTAACAAGAGCAGAATATATGGCACGGTCAGGAGTCAAAGAAGATATAATCATTCTACCTAGAAGTTCGTATGCTTTCATCACTCCCTCCTTCTCACAAAGCCATCTGATAAGAATGTTCCAAGAATCGGAATCATCAATACTTCTCTCAGACATCTTCTCGAGGAGACCTTTAGCCATGAAAAATTTATCAGCATCACAACAGCATCTGAGCAATGCATTGTGTGGAGAAGTTATGAGCACATGTTTATCTTCCAAGAGCTCAATAGCCTTATTTATCTTTCTTATTTTACAAAACCCATTTACAACATCCACAAAAACATTATCATCAGGTGTTAACTGACTTTCCATCATCTCTTCAAGAAGGTTTACTGCCTCATCCAACCTAAGGTGCTTGCACAAACACTGTATCAAAGCTCCATAAATAAAAGAATCCGGGGTAACATTAGAATCTTTCATCTTTGTAAACAACCTAATCCCCAGTTCCAGTCTATCTTCCCTACAAAACAAAGGTATTGCAGATCTATAAAAACTCAGTTCAAGCAGGCATCCGAGTTCCAGCATCTCATGCAAAATGGTAACTGAATCATCAATTCTATTTTTGGCAATGAGACCTTCTATTACTATCTCAAAAGTCCTACTATTAGGACTACAACCTTTCTTGTTTATTCTCCTGTATTGATCCAAAGCAGAATCAACCCTCTCTGTCTCAAACAAAACCTCCAGCAAGTAATTCAAAGTATCAATACTTGGAGCCACTCCTGCTTTCACCATCTCCTTATAAACAAAAACCACATCTTGAAACCCTCTCTTCTCTTCCACAAGAGCACCCAGCACAGAATTAAACAAATCAATTGAAAGCTTAATACCAGCCAAATTCATATTAACAAGAACACGCATCGCTTCATTAAGCCTGTAATTTCTAACAAATGCATCAACCAATGAAACAAGGATATCTTCTGCACCTGAGCACCTATCTTTTACCATACTTCGACAAAACCCCTCCATTTCCTCAACATTTCCAGCCATACCCAGCTTGAAAATAATCCAATAATAAGTATCAGCAGTGTGATTAAACCTTCTTTGAAGTGCAGCCCATTTGAATATCTTAACAGCAGAGTTAATATCGCTGGTGCTTTTCAAGACTTTGATTAAGTTATCGGGGTAAAGTTTATTCCTCAGAGATTGAATATTTGCATCAAAATCAGTAATATTTGGTGTGTTTTGATTGATTTCTGGGTTAATTTGGATGGTATTAGTGCAAGATACGGAAGAAATGAAAGATTTTAGATTGACCAATTTGGGAATTCTCTTAAAAAATGTTGAAGGAGCGAGCATTGCAGTCAGACACAACTAGAAGTTTGTTCCTTTTTAAGGTTGAAGAAGGCAGAAATCATGTCAAAGCATGTTACTTTTACTAAACACCGAACAAGGAAGCTGGCGTATGACTGACCTGATAAAGGGAAGCACCAGAAAGCGATCGGGTTGTGTTTATTTCAGTTGAGGGTGTCCTTCTTAGCTCAACTCCTTACAATCGATGACTTTGTTTATGACAAGGAACGTAGGGGTTTTGTCCCTCTCCGTTCGTTGAGAGTTTTACATGGGCTAACCGCATATTAGTCCTCAAACTATTATCTATTTCTCAATTACATCACCAATCTATATTCTTTATACATTTGACAACCTATACAATAATTCTCAATCGAATCTCTTTGCTAAAAATATCATAAAATTTTGAAAAAAAAAAATTAATCTCTCTAAAAATGATGTCGTTTTATTTCATAAAAATAGATACTTTAGATAAAAAAGAAAATTATAGCATAAAAAGCTCTAATTAAATAAAATATTCAACAATATAAAGCAAATTTTTTTAAAAGTACAAGAACTAAAATATAATATTTTAAAATCTATTGACGCTCCAATTGCTTCTATAACTTAAATCTTAGATGAAAAAAAAAAAAATTCACTTACCAACTAAGTTAATTTTTTAAGAGTGCTTGATTGATATTAACTATTCATGACGTTTCAATACTTCTATTAACAAAAAAAGGTGGATGACTGAAATTTTGATTAAGACCTTGGTAGGTCCATTGTGAAATAACAGACATACTATAGGGATGGTTAATATTGAACATTTTGGGGTTAATTAATAATACACCTAAACTTCAAGGATAAATTTGAAATCACAGAAAATAAAAAAAGAAACCCCGAAATCCAAGTCCCGGTTTGCTCAGGATTGAATCGGGTCTTATAAATACAAAACTGATATGTCTTTGCACTTAAAATTTTCATTTTTTCTTGAAACAAGTCCATTACTCTTTTAGCTTCTGGGGTTCAAGATTTAAAGCTACCTAACGACCTTTTTATTTTATTCATCAAAGCTTAAAAGGCCCCATCAGGTTAGTTTCATCTAATTTCTGTTTGGTGAGGGATTGGATATCTGGGTTTTTGTTAGGAGTTATAGATTTTTTTTTCTCTCGGTTTTAATCTAATTCCCATGTGAATAAAGATTGTTTCTTTAACTTATATTGTTGTCAATTTGAGTTGAAAGTAAGATACTTTTGTTTTGTTTTGTTTTGTGTTGTTTTTGCGGAGAATTTTTTATCCTGGTTTCTTTTAATTTGCAGGTTCTTGTAATCAATGGATGACAAAGAGATTGCTTTGTCATACAAGGATGTGGTTTTAAGAGTTTCAGACGTGAATATCCTTAAAGGATCATGTTATCTTAATGACCAAATTATTGATTTCTATTTTGCTTACTTATCTTCTTGCTATAATGCCGATGCTAATGATATCTTGCTTGTTCCACCTTCCACATCCTATTGGTTTGCAAATTGCCAAGATCGACAGAGTCTTGTCAAAGATTTTGTGAAACCTCTTAAGTTTTCGAGCAAGAAACTCATTCTTTTTACTGTGAATGATAATGAAGATCTTAGTGCAGCTGAAAGTGGAACGCATTGGAGCTTGCTTGTTTATGATAGGAACCAGAATTGCTTTTTGCATTTTGATAGCTTGCGGGGGATGCACCGATATCATGCCTTGAGGCTCTACAAAGCTGTAAAGGGATTCGTGGGCACAGCCAGTGAATCATCATCAGAAGATGGTGCTGAGACTATGAAAATGAAAGCTGTAGGGTCTGCTGCTGCTCCTTTCTTTAAAGAAGGTAAAACACCACAGCAGACTAATGGATTTGACTGTGGACTTTACGTTATTGCCTTAGCTGAGGCGATTTGTCGATGGCATTCTTGTGAAAGGGATAGAGATGATGGTGACTGGTTGTCTGATGTTGAAAGGGAAGTAAATGCATCTTTGGAGACAACAATGCGAAGTGAAGTATTGAAGCTTATTGAAGATCTGAGGAAACAATGAATTAGGGTTTATTCTGTAGGAATAGATGTTTTAGTGACATAAATTTTGCCATTAAGAGGAACAGATGTTTTAGTGGCTCAAAGTTCAATTAAGGAATGTTGTTATGAAATCTATTTTATACGTGTAAGCTAGAAGATTCATTCTCTGATTCTGTCCTTTACCAGTAGAAAACAACTTGATTTTTGTGATCATCATCCATCTTGGCTGAACTTCGGATTGGCCATGGCTTGAAGGAAGGCATAAAATGGTGGGACGGCAAGCCACATTTTATCACAGGTACTCTATAGATGATCAGAAATCTATTCTTAGGATTATGTAGTTTATTATGGCAAGGTCCATCGTAGCTAATCCATGAATTCTCCCCATATTTAGCCAATTCCTGTCAATAGGCTAGGAGTCAAGAGTATTGCCACCTTCAAAAGTCGAGCTACATGGTGTCATCCATCTTGTAACCAAACCACTCTTTGCAATGGGAGCATAAAATTTCAATCCACAAACAAAAACACGAATTGACTCAAGAACAAGGTGAGCAAAAAACATAGATAAATATCAATGTGAAAATCTCGAGTGAATAGTGGTGAAACCTAGGCAAGCCTTTTCTCAAATAACAAATCTGAGTATCAATACTCTTTCATGTCTACACCAGCAACATGCAATGCTAGACTTATTATCATGGTCATTGCACTCTTATTCAAACGGGCAAGAATTTAGGTTAGAAATACAGCTCAAAAGCAAAGATAGATAAAGACAAGCTACCATTCAAAACTAAAGGTCTAATAGTTCATGCCAACTTAAAACAGGGATGCAGATTTTAATAGGTCTTTCTGGCCCTTCAAAATAGTTGTTACATGTACTGATGTACAGATGCTGATGCCTCTGCTTCTCGATGTCATCCCTGTTAATAAAACACAAGGGCATTGATTGGTTGAATGCAAACAACAAAATTCAAAATTAGATGGACAGGCAGACATTTCTCAGAACATTTATTCACAGATAATGATGTTGAACTCCACAAAGTCATGTAAAAACGTTGTGGTGGCAAATGTGTATGAGTGCATGTATGTAAAACGATGGAGCTAATACTCATGATCAACATCTTGACAAGTTGAAATGGCAACCAAAATTTTTGCAGAAGTATGTATATGACTGTATGTCCATGAAAAAAGGACATAACAGTATGTATAAGTGAAGCATACGGCCTTGAAAAATGGGCATACAAGTTAAAAGTCCTGGGTGTGGTTAAAAACGTGGAGCAAGTAAAAATTCACGCCGCCTAACAAAAAAGAGGTAAAACTGCATTGCATGGCAAAAGCTAATACTTACAGCACCTAACACTTTACAAAAGCTCTTCTAACACTCTACAACTTTGCAAGTGGACTTGTTGTGCCCAAGACCCTTGCATCTACTGCACTGGAGCTGACGTTTGACTACATCTTGTTGTCCATATTTCTTTGTGGTAGGCCGGCCTGGAGGACGCCGGGTCGGAGGAGGGGTTACAGTTACTGCAACCTGAGAAGAATCTTTCTCAACAGGGAGGTCAACATTAGGTAGAGGGTGAACGGACTCGGAATATGTCAATCGGTAGCTTTCAATTGTGAAATATCTTGAACAATAATCATATGGACTCCTGCCAACACAACCAATGACTGCAAGAGCATGGCAACAAGGTAAACCAGTGAGCTGCCACTCTTTGCAACTACAATCCCAGCTGTCGATATCAACCACTTCAACAGTTTCACCACGAACCTCAAATGTACTACCAGCTGACAGTAGCACCTGAAGGGAATGGACTTTCAAGCTTTCCTTCTCTAGCTTTTCCTCTGCAGATGGAGTTAATCTTGTCAGCCACTGGTTGGAATCTGCACGCCTTGTATAAATCAATTCCATAATCTTACCCCGTATCACATCAACCATCTGTGTTATTGGTAACTCATTTGCATCTGACACCCAACTGTAAAACATCTCTCCAAAGTTAGATGTCATATAATTGTATCTTGCACCCTGAAAAAATGAATTCGCCCAATTTTGTGGCTCACTTTGGAGGATCCAATTGTATGCTTCCAGTGAAATACTTTTGATGCTCTCTATGCACCTTTGGAAGATTTCAGGCCTAGATGCATAGGCAGCAGCATTCAAATCTTCAATCATGAGTCGCTTAACCTCATGAGAAAACTGCCCCTTCAAGTCTCGAATAAGTTGCTCAGACAAATATCGTAGGCAATGGCCATGGTATGAGCCCTTGAATATCTCAGCAATTGACTCCTTTAAGCCCTTCTGTTTGTCTGCCACAAATGTTATTGGACAAGAAGTTGACAGTGCAGTTTTCAATTGAAGTAAAAACCAATGCCAATTATCACTAGTTTCTGCATCCGCTACTGCAAAAGCAACAGGAAACACACTATCATTCCCATCTGCAGCTGTTGCAGCTAATAATGTACCTTGATACTTGGAATTTAGAGGTAAGCTATCAAGAAAAAGAAGAGGCCTGCAACCTTGAACAAAACCATACAATGAGGCATGAAATGAGACAAATAGGCGCTCAAAACTTGAGTCATCCTTAGTGGTGAATGTTGCCAGACTACCGGGATTTGTCTCCATAATCTTGTCACAGAAAAATGGTAACTGATTATATGCCTCTTTGTATGAACCCTGAAGCTGCTCCTTTGCAATTTCTTTCCCACGCCATGCCTGGAAGTAGTTTAGTTGGATTCCATATTCTTGTTTGATGTCATTGACAATATCCTTGGGCTTGTAATTTGGGAAAACTTTCAGCTTTTCCTTAATAATACTAGCTACCCAGCTCCGGGTTGCCTGGTGTCCTGTTGTCACCACCGACCCTTCACATGTATGTGTTGGATTCATCTTCTTGATGCAAATTAGTTGAGTGGTTGACAACCTTGATGCATGAATTCTCCAGGGACAGCCTTCAGCTTTGCATTTTACAGTTACACGATGGCTATCATTCTTCTTATATCTAAATGCAAACTGGTGTGCAATGGCATATTTACGCAAAGATTCACGAAATTCATGAACACTGCTGAATCTTTGACCCACTCCAGTGATAGTATTCTGCCATTGCTGTGCACCTTTAGCATGTTTCTCATCGTTGGAAGCAAGAAGAGGAAGAATGGGCGAAATTTCAAGTGAATCAATCTGCGGATCTTCAATATGAACATCAACATTATTGGTATCATCTACAACATCAAGATCAAGAGGTGCAGCAAGTGAGTTATTGGGCTGACTGATATCCTCCAAAATGGCAAGAGGTGCATCAATAGGAGGCACTGCTTCAGAAAGAGTTGTTCTGCTTGATCTACAAAATCAAGAATTGGCAAGTTACTCCCACAGATCAACAAAATGACCACATTTTTTAGCTTAGACATCAAGAAGACTACCTACTGGCAGGCAAATTTGAGACACCAGGCAGAAAATTATCGTCCAAAATCACATAAATATCTGCAGTTAAAGAATCCCCATGAAATTTTATCATCCGCTTTAAGTCCTTGTCATTAGAGATGGTAATGAGAGTCTTCTTATTGCCTGGGAGAAAGTATTTGAGAGACATGGTGTTGACACTGCAATTAAACATCTCAGCCACCTCCACCTTGAAGTCATTAAACTTGATTTGGTCATCAATGTCTATAGCATGAGCATCACCACCTCGATAAAGCAAAGTACCATCCTTATCCATCTCAAATTCACCACCCAACTGACAAATAGCTATCATTTTTATCTCTGCCATTACCTGCCTAAACGCAACAAATAAGTAAGAAATTCAAAGCCAAAATGTAATCCACTGCGAGAAACCATAACATTCACAGATAACCCAAAAAGCACAAGAAGCTCAGCAAGGTTTGCAATTCTTTAATACCCGAGAGTATGTGAAGAATGGAGACAGAGTTGATTCTCGAAATTTCAGTCATAAACACCTGCCTTTCAGTTATTATGACCAACCAAATGGATAAAAGCTCTGTGTTCGGTTACTGCAACAATGCAGATGAAATAAATTAAAGATTTCATATCCGGGCTTCCAGCCACATCAAGCAAGATGGAAAAACAATAGCATTGCACTCAATCATACCTACTGAAACTATTCACTAAGCTATACTAGGTAGACAAAATTAATAGAAAGATAACTTTTATGAATCACCATCAGCTACCTACTAAACTTAGACAACATTGGTGTCATGAAAACAATCTGGCAATCAGCATCACCTTTGACATTTCAAAATCTCAATACAGAAAATGGCTAAAAATTCAGTCTTTTTGGTCAGCCTCAACCAAATAAAAGGACCCAATTCCTAAAACATTAATAAAAATCAGCTAATTTACAAAATTTTAGTGCAACCCATAAAATATTACACAGCAAATTTCACCAAGAACCCAAAATCAACAACAAAGTTCATAACTTTATCCTCAAACAGCTACAAAATTATCCCAAAAAAATAAACGAAAATCAACAAAATAATGAACAAAAAAACCCTAAGGAATTGAAATAACAACATGAACAATAAAATAAACCAAAAAAAGAAAGAAAGTTGGTACCTTTATTATAGATCAAGAAGGGAAGAGAGAGTTGCTGAAATTGACTCTATTTCGCTATATATGTGTATATATATATATATATATATATATATATATATATATATAAACCCTTATTTGTATAAGCAGGCTTCTATTCAAATTGCCCTCTCAATCATAACAAAACCATAGAGAGAGCATCTATGCGGTGTTTTTTTTTTTTTTTTGATGGAAGTAAAAGACAGACAGGTACCAAACAAGTAAGGGGAACCTCAAGGGTTTTGTGTCGTCAGCCAAGGAAGTTTGTTACGGCTAAAAAAAGAAACTAGCATGGTTCCTAAATTGTTTATATTTAGTCAATTTAATACATTCACTTTATACTAAGTTAAAATAATCCTTTTACTTTCATTGGAAGGTTATTTGAGCCTATTAATGCAACTTTGTCATTATCCAAATGGGAATAAGAAATTTGCGTTATTATTTAATTGGATGAAGGATTGCCTCTAATAGAAACTATAGGAGTTGATTTGACTGAATGTGTAACTAAAAGGGACCATATTGATTATATGAGTACAGATTCAATGATTTGGGACCCAATTTGGGTTGGTGGGTCCTTTTATATCAAATTTATGGTTGGTTCCACTCGTTGTTTGACCAATCTGATACACGGGAGTAAATTACAAATTAGTCTCTTTAGTTTTGAAAAATAAATTAATTAGTCCTTCTTGTTTTAAAAATTACTTATTTAATTTTATATTTTAATTTTTTCTTTTGTAATTTGATCCTTTCAATCTATTTGGTTCTTTTCCAGTTTATTTTGACCTTCGTTTAAAGAAATAAAAAATAATTTAAAAAAGTACAACGATTGATAAAAAAATATGATTTTTTTTTTGAAATAAAGTAAATTAAAATTAAGCGTAGTCAAAACTAATCAAATAACTAAATAATTAGTTTTTCAAATCAAATGAACTAATTAATTCATTTCTTAAAAATAGAGGGACTAATTTATAATTTGCTCTATGCACAGGCAGTGTCTTTCGTTCTCTCTTTTTTGTTTGTTAAAAAGGGGAAGAAAGAAAGAAAGATTTGCAAAGTTGAGAGATCCATTTCTTGAAAAAATTCCTGCATAATGAGTAATTATTAAGTCTTTCCTTTATAATAATGTTTACAAAAAATATCACCTGGCCATAAAAGCAAAAGAATGATGCTGAAATTTGAATAAAATAATAGATCAATCCAAAACTTGTTGACAGTGAAGATTAACTTTGCAGTATTTCAAAAAAGTGAATCTTTAGATTTCTGTAACAATTATTATTACTATTTTTCTGAAAAAGTCATATCTTTGAGAAAGGTTAAATGGCGAAGGCTAAGGCAACAAAACAAGAAAGTTTTGGGTGGACACCTCGCTTTCTCCTCCTGTAATTCACGACAGAAATGGTTTGCGTGTACTATTGGATCCTAGCCATTGTTGCCTCTCTGGACCACTTTCCACAGTCTGGATGTGGATTTGCCTTCCTAATTTAGTCTTTTGGTTTATCTTGCAACAACAAATTGATGGTGGTTGCCTTGTATTGTCATGGCAATCCAAGAATTTTGTTACCATGAATGATAATGACCCAAAAACTTCCACCTTTGAAAATGGATTGGAGTACTTTTGAAGAGAATAATGGCATGCCTAGTCCCTGACATTCACAACAAGAAAAAAGACAGTAGCTACGGAGAGGAACCAGACAAGGGCTCCTGGGATGGAGAACAGCCAACATCATTTTCGATTTCATCTCAGGTGGTTTTAACACATTACACACCCTGTTGAAAGTGGATCCTTAGTAGTGTTCTAGCTGTCAAAACAAAAACCAGGAATGTAATTCAAAATTACTAACATCAGATATAATCTCCATAACATATTGGGTTACAAGCAAGCTGATAGCTATGCTCTATAGTTAAATCTGAAGATCTCAACCTTTTTCGAGCCATAGGAGAATTCAAATATGTTAACGTTAATTATTTGGATAATATTTACAAGAATGTTCTGCCAGACGTCCAGTAGTCTCTGACTTTTAGGTCATCTAATCCGAAAGAACAACAAGAAGTGCTCTCCTCTACAAAAGGGCCAAAAAAAAAAAAAGGTAAAGAAACAAACTTGGAACTCTTATTCTCATCATCAATCTCAAGCTTGTTTGTCAACTTCTGAGTGTCATGGTACCGAAACCATGGCCACTGGCTGGTATTCACACGGGAAACGTTTACTATGCCTCATTGAACTACAAACAAAAAGAAAATTCCAGGTTAAAGCAGCTTAAAAGAAGTAAATCAAACTCATGCATTATTCCACATATTTCAGGAGTACTATAAGAACTGAAAAAACTGTAGATTGAAATGCAAATATGGTTTATAGGCTCGGTTAATTCAATGTGTTGAAGAAGAAAAGCTTTCTTAGCTTAGCTTCTTACAGAGAGAGTCCAATTGCAAGTGCACATAGAAAACTTTCATCAGGGTGGAATATAATTCTGTACACACCAATCATTAACAACTCTAAAGTCTGTCTGAATCCTACAACATCAATAAAATTATATCAACAAGACGTAGACTTTGTTCGCACATAAACAGACATAATTTTGTTTCATTAATGGCCAAGTCTGTTTTCAAGGAGAGTAATGCATGAATATAGTAACAAGAAGATCAACTATTACACAAGAACAAAAGAATAACACCCAGCCCAACAATGACAAGGGGGCAGCAAGATTGAGATATTCATAGAAGCAAAGAAATTCTGCAGCATGGAATTTGTCGAGGAACCGCCACTACCGGCAGAGTAAGTGCTTACAATCCTTTTGGAGCATGTTCATTCTTACAAATTGTGCTCTCTAATTTCATTCGATCAAAGTTAGATTCCACCATTTATTGCAATTACCCTCAAATATGGAATTGAAACTCATGACTATGAATTCAGTTAAGAAAAAGCACAACTTTCACACATCAGTCCCCTGGGAACAATTCTGCTGTTAATTTACGAAAAGGTGAAGGAATGGCAGGGCAACCATATATCTAAACACCACCATGTTTACAAGACCTTCCAAGGATAATCCTAGAGTAGATACTGGTTTGCTGGTAAATCCCACACCAGAACTCCAATAAATACCCTGAATTGTAAGAAAAAAGTTAGGGAATTGTAATAGAATCTTTAACAAGATCAGATTCATTTTCAGTTTTTCACACATCTTTACTAATTGATTCCGCTCAAGGTTTATAGTGGTTTAAGTAAGTTGTGTTCTGTATTCTTTATACTTCTCCTTATTAAAAATTTCTAGAAAGGCCATCACTTGCCGGTTGCCATGGTCTAATAAATGCAAGGAAACTATCTAAAGTTTCACTACTGAATCTATCACCAGAAAATCTGAACAAGGCGTACTTCACAGCATTATCTTCAGTGGACAACAACAGAACCCAGATATGGCAAGCAACAAAAGATTCGCTCCATAAAACACATTTTGCGATGATATCTTCTAGGAATGTGATCGATTTATAGGAGGTTCCATGATTAGGGTTATTTGTTTGTCAGTGGTGTCACTACTTGCAATTGTAAATGCAATCAGAAGAGACACAATGCAACAAGGTCACTTTGATTTCAAGAAACAGCTGAAAAGATTTTCACCAATGTCCGAGGAAGAAACCATCTTTGTTCCGTCGTACATAAACATTCTCCACTGCATCTAAAATATAACCACAATTTCTAGTTTTTGAAATTGATTAACTATAGTTTAGCAGATCAAATTGCATATATATATATATATATATATATATATATATATATATATATATATATTGATTAACTATAGTTTAGCAGATCAAATTGCATATATATATATATATATATATATATATATTGATTAACTATAGTTTAGCAGATCAAAGTGAGAATTAACAGGCATAGAAAACCCTATTCATGATCACCAAAATAGTTTTTACAATTAGAGACAGGGAATACCTCTTCAGTTTGAGAGAGATGCACAAGTGATGCCATCGCTGACCAATTGGTTAACAGCATCCCTAAACCTGTAATAATCGTCATCCTTGTTGTAAACTTGATGAGAAATCCGAGCATAGCCAGTAATTGAACTAACCTCTCCATCAATTGGAGCCCTAAAATAAATAGGAACTTCAACCTGGAAATGATCCCTCAAATGCGTCCTTAACTTCAAAGTATCTGACTCACTCGAAATCTCCAAACAAGCAGGCAATCCAACCATAATCATACTTGCACACATCTCTGGCAGAGACCCCAGACTGGTCCCCCAAGCTTTCACCAACATCTCCCCCATCTCCACAACTTTCTCATGATTCCTCCTCTTAATTCCCTCAATCCCACCTTCAAACCTGTTAATAAACTCCAAAACTGCAGGAACCACCAATTGAGCACTATAATCCCTAGTCCCAATCCAAGCACTCTCTACAGCCAATCCATTACCGTACTCATGGGACACAACAGGATGATGCAGATGCAGATCACCCATATTCCCTTCCTCTCCTCTCTTCCTGCAATACAAAAAGGCAACAGAAGGAGGGCAAAAAAACCACTTATGCAAATTACTGGTATAAAAATCAGCCCCAATATCTCTCACATCAACATCAACGCACCCAATTCCATGAGCAGCATCAACGAAAACCTGGTCAACACCTTCTTCTCTACAAATCTTAACTAATTCTTTAACAGGAATAACAACGCTAGGCATTGAAGTAACATGATCAATCACAGCCAACCTAACTCTCTTCTTCCCATTTTCTTTCCCTTTCTCTAAAGCCTTTCTAAATTCACTCACAATCTCTTCCTTTGATCCAACAGGGAAAGGCAACTGTACCTCAATAACTTCCCCGCCGGCGCGCGTGACATAAGCCTGAACAGACTTCTTGACAGCACCATAAGCATAATGCAACATGACAGCAACATCTCCTTTATTAAATATCCCTCCATCGAAACCCCATGCACAGTTTTGCAAAACAATAGCAGCAGCAGTGGTGGCGTTGTCAACAAGGGAGATTTCGTCAACAGAATGAGCGTTTACCAAAGATTTGATGATGGAGCGTGAGTGAAGGATGGAAGGTTTGAGTGTGTTGAAGTAAAAGTTATCAGGCTGGCGGAGGAACTGGAGCTGAAACTTTTGTTGGGCAGAGATGACAGATTGAGGGCAGCTGCCAAAACTGCCATTGTTGATCCGAGCGATGATTTGGTCATGGTGGGAAAACTCTGATTCGATTTCAGAGTCAGAAATAAAAGAAAGTTTTGGTTTCTTGGTAGGGGTGGAATTGGGGTTGGAGCAGCCGTTGAGGGAGTGGCTGTTGTGGCAGTTCAAGGAGGAGGAAGCCATAGCATGGAGGAGGGAAAATGGGGAGGGGAGAGAGAGAGGAGAGATGATGAAGAGACAAATTTGAGTGGAGAAAAATAATGTTCTGGTGACATATGGAAAACACAAACTCCACTAATTACTTAATTATTGTCGGTAATTACGTGCTACCAACCGTTCATCTTAATCTCCTGTTGGAGAATGGAATCAGATACCCCTGTTTTTGTGCATGTATAACTTTGTTCCAAGTTGAACTTTACTCCCTCATCCATTCATGTCACTTGCTGCTCATGCATACTTCACTTCAAACCTCAGGGAGAAACAAAGGGATGGTCTTGTTCTATCTTTTCTCAAATCCATCTACGAAAACAGAACAAGTGTCTGTATCCTTATGAAGATTTAGTAACTAGCTTGTGTTTGAAGAAACCGGCCTAATGTCAATGTGGTAGAATATTTGAAACGGTCTTCTATTCTACTAGTTGATAGTGACAAAGAACTAATAGTTTATTTATGGATTGGAAAGCAGTTAGACGGTGATTTTGATCCATGAAACATGTCCTTTTCTTTCTGTATTTATGTTAAAGCCGATTCTAACAAATGTTCTGTTTTGCTCGTCATTTCCATATTTTTGTCCCTTGTTTTCGTTCTTCAACTTGATCACGATGGCATGGTTTTAAATCCAGATGTCGTTTTTTTAAACGGTAAGGATTACGGATCCCGATAATAAAACAAAAATTATGACGTTTTAAAATATTAAATTAAAATTTTATTATTATAAAAAAACTAAACTAAAACTATTGATATAGACTAATTATTTTTTAGTTTTTAAATATTTTTAAGATATTTATTATAAAAGTTTTCATGACATTACATTTTAGTTTCTTTTTTTAAATATTATTTTTTATATATAAATATTTTTTATTTGATTTTGATCCTATTTTTTTGTTTTATTTTGATCACTTTGATCTTTACTTTTTTTTCCTCTGATTTTTTAATTAAAATTTTAAGACAAAAAGATGTTTACGGAAAAACAATTTACAAAATAAGATTTTAGCTAAAAAATATGAATAGAGATAAATAAATAATATTTTTTAATAAAAAATTATGAAAATATAAAGAATAATTAGTCAAATATAAAATTTTGATTAAAAAATAACAAAATTAAATGATTTTTTATTCAATTTTGATTTGATATATTTTAATAGATACACAATATAACACAAGACATTAAAATAAAATAAATTTTTAAAAATAATTTTATATATTTAATTAAATCCACAGCGTAGTATGAATAAAAAAATTAATTTAATCGATAACATAACAATAATTTTTTCTATCATTATTCACCTAATAACGAAAATATCTATTATTGTTATCATTTGTATGAAGCGAGTGTCGAAGTAAGGTCATTATGCTCCCAAAGTAAGCATCTGAGTCGGCTAACATTGACTAATTATAGTGGTGATTAGACAGGCAATTATTCATCTTTTGCTAGTTGTTGATCCTAGGTAAGGTTATGTCAACTTTGACCTACGCAACAAACAATTTTATAAGATTCCTTGCTCCATTTGTCTGGATCCGACCTTTGCTGATACTGAAAGGCCAACACTGAGGAAATTTATCAATTACTGCCACTTGCCGGCCGTATGAGAACATTTTAGGCCAATCAATTTCATTTTCAACACACAATTTCGTGCAATGTTGAAGGATCACGATACAAAATTCCCTCAAAGCATCAAAAGTCTTATCAAATGGAGCAAGATAAACTTATTCCTTTAAAGGTATTTGTACACAAAAAATGGTCCAGAACCGACCCGATTCTCAACTATAAAAAAGAATATAAAAAGTTAAAGAAGCCCAAGACTTGGAAGATAGAAATGAGAAAAGGACTCCATGCGTCATGCCTTAATTAAGAAATTTGGAGCTGTGCATCTCTAGATCATGTACCCATATATATATATTTGATCTGCCTTTTAGCAGAATGTTGGTTCAACTCAGAGTTCTTAACAAAGAATCTGAATCAGAGGAAGCAGAAGCATGCTGTTTCTGATTGAATTCAAGGAAAGAACTCTACTTCCATTCCAGGAAACAATTGAGCATAGTTAATGCCAACAGCAGGGGTAACAGATATGCCCGAATCCGTTAAATAACAACCATTACGCTATCCAAAGTCCGTTATTTGGAGCTATGAACAGAAAGCATTTTTGTTGAAGAACTGTTAGCAAAAAACTTCCTTCACTGCAACAAGCATCTCTATCCTCTAATGATGCCACAAGCCCTAAAAGTAATTTACCATCAGAAGGAATTTGATCAATGGGACTTCTGTCTTGCCAAAGCAAGACAAGTATGTCTCCCACTGAGCAGGACAAGTACAGCACCTGTGCTGGAGAGTGGAGATGCATTTCCATGACAATACTAAATAGAGGATTATCACTCCAATCTTACTTTCTCATACATTGATAAGAGTTAGAGAGCTGCTCTGTCTCGAATCCCCTTTCTAAAAGTATGGTCTATACTGACTCCCGCCTCTCAGAAGGAGCTGACTCAAGACTTCCATCATTCATTTGATAAAAATCACACTATTGGACAATCAGGAAGTACATAAATTCAGTCCTGGTGGTCAACCTGGAAAACGTATTGTCTCTATATAAAAGACCAACAAATGGCTCATTTACCACAACATAATTTCAACCTTCACGGGCAACCTATTGCTATTTTAATTTGTCATAAGCAGCTATATTCTGGGGTTCACATTCAGGGCTAAAAAGGCGGACCAGCAGAGCGGAAGTTGAGCTCCAACAAATAGCTCCACAAGCAGCCCACCGAAAACTCCTAGGATTTGTAATTCTAGGACCTGCATGAACAACGAAGCGATGAAAATTGCAGGTTTAATTGAATACAGAACATGAAATGATAAAACAATAGATAACTGTGTGGCAAAATTGAAAAACAAACTACACAACTGAAAAACAACAATTGACTAAAAATCCTTTCAAAATGCACATATCAAATTATATTTTAGCTTGTGTCTTATGATTGATGACAAGCTGAAAAAAATAATCATAAGCGCCAAATCCAAAATGGTTCAAAAAGATGTATAGTAACTGCAATTCCTCCTATCATGCAGTTTCCAATGCTTTGATTTATGTGATGCTCCTTTCAATGTTACTTCTAGTTTTTTACTAGTTTTTCCATATCTCCAGCATTTTGTAGCTACGATTTGGATATCAAAGCTGTTTTAACAGCATGATGAAATTAACTCAAGATTTTACCACAACTCAATCTTTAAATATTTCACAACAAACTCAAGGTTTCTTTAAAGATCTACATGCGTGATCTCCAGGATATCGCCAGAGTTTGACATAAGCTTTTAACACCTTCCTTTGATCTTTTCACATTTTTAATAGGTTCTTAAATCTCCATTCTAACAGAGATGGTCATCTATATGACATTTTGAGCTACTCATATCAGGCACATCATCTGAACTCCAGGATGCTTTACTGAATAATGGTCCATTGCATGATGACACACTTATTAGATTACATTAGTGAAAAAAAGATTGTGCCAATAAAATTAGGATACAATTTGGTTCAACTCCAACACACACGCAGGAGTAAAACCCTAAAATGACCCCAGTAGCTTCTTAAACGAGGAATACCAATTAGATTAAACCCGTCCGTATACAAGTCTTCCCTGAGTTTTCTATGACTGCCCTTCTCTTAAATACTAGTTTAATATCTGCAATAACTCTCATCCTAGGCCAAGATACAACCGATAAAGACTATCATCATGATCACAATTGTATACGTAGTGACATTCAGTTTGATGGCAAATTATATCCTATCTTTCATGTTAGGATGTCAATTCATATGCTTAGTTGGAAACAAGTGCTCAACTTTGTCTGCAAGACCCCTACTTTAAAAACCTCCGCCAACACTACAAGGCACTAGCTTTATGTAACCTCATTTCCAAGACTTGATCATATATGATCTTTACAATCAGTAACGTGACCAATATCTCCAAAAGTAAGATGATGCATACATGACGGTAAAAGCCAAGGCAGTTCAGTTATTTAACAACCTTAAAAGAGTTAGACTGAAACAGAGAAAATGACATAGAACAATGCAGTAGGGATAGTAGAACATACCATAATGCAACCTACATAGAATCCAGAAACCAAATGCTCCTCCAACACTAAAAATTCCAGCTGTTTGCCTCATTAATCTAGAGCAAGGCTTACAATCTGACCTCATCAACTCCCCATCTGAGAACCCAAATAAGCGCCTTAATGCCATCTATCACACGCTGCAAATTCAATTCAATGACCTTCAAAACCTGAAATATAATAAAATGTACAAGCATTTATCATGCTTCAAACATATTAACACTCTCTAGTCCATTGAAAAATAAGAAAAATCAAGAAAAACCCAGATACAAGAACACTTATTTCATTATGTTCCTTAAAAAAAAAAAAAAAGTCCTTTCTTCAAGTTATTTGGTGCCACAACCATATTCTTTCTTACAACAAAGAAAACTTTTTGATGTGGGAAATGAACTACTCCCAACTACTTATTTTACTATCAGGAAAAAAAAGAGTACTTGTTGCAGCTATATACCTCGTATAACTACCTCGAAAGCTAAAAGCAAGTAGCTTAAAGCACTAATAATACTTAAAAAAAAAAAAAAAAAGGAACGATGATCCTCTGTGTGTCATTTTGTAGAACAGTTGGAGAGCAAAAAAATAGATACTCTAAAAGCTACACAACGCGTCAACATAATGATTAAAATGTGATAAAGATGTGACCTTTATTATCTGGGAACTGGCAGGGACTTTGATTGAATTGAATTACCAAAAAAGGAAGTTGTCTCTCATAAGTAGGGGATTTCTTCCTCTTTGCGTGAGTCAGAGAGAGAGAGAGAGAGAGAGAGAGAGTATTTTTAGCAAAACTGAGAAGTGGGTGTAAATAGTTGATTTGTTTGTGATTTTGCCTATTGGGCTTAGATGGTACTATAGATTCTTTTGGGCTTTCTTATGGTGATTCAAAGGATTGATAGTTTGATACCCACATGTTTTTTTTTCTTCAGAACAGAGAAACCCACACACGCACATGTATATATTTTTGCAATATATATGTGTATATTGCAAAAATGGTTTTATGTTACATAAAATTAAAAAAAACTTTCAGATTTTTTTAACGATATTGAATATCGATTTTCCTTAATAGTCAAAGTTTTACCTGTAAATTTTAACTATTCAATTAAATAAAAAAATAATAATTTGTTGAAATATGACATTAAACTTTAAATTTTAGAGAATGTGTGCTGTCCAATTTTTAGATTTTTTAATTTTTTTTTAATGTCTTTCCTGAGCTAAGTACAGTAGTAGGAAAAAACATTAAAGGGCGTTCACCTGGATAGGACAAGAGGTTTGGTTTGGAAATTTATGGAATTTCCAAGCAATTTCCTTAGTCAAGATAAAGACAAGATAACATTTATCTGGCACAGTTACCAAGGAAACATTTTTCTTGTAGATTGTAGATGGACCATCTGGAGCGAAGCAAATTTGACTTAAGAAGCAACCGTACGAAGCGCATCGTCGATATAAGGGTTGTTTTCAATAAAAAATCACATTTTTCTCTTTTCCTTATGTCAGATAGAGATAGATATTTATGTGGAACGAATACAGACACAACAAGTGTTAGGTACCACTCCTACATTAAAGGGTGTTTCTGCTTTCTGACGCTAGCGTCCCCAGAAGTCTTTAACGGGATAGTTCGTGTCTTTTGTATCGTATCGGCTCTTGGTTTCTACACTCTTTCCAGGCTCAACAGCACACAGTCTCTTCACTTTGCTTCAGGCTCAGCTCAGGTTACACTTCTTTTCCTCTCTATTTCAGTCTGTCCACACACACAAAATCATCATCACTGCATACGTAAACATGCTGATCATTAAGGAGTTTTTATTTGCTTCTTGTGCTCTCTTTTAGAAATTAGGGTAGCGGAGCCCTTTCTACTTATGTGCTTTTATTATTGATTTTTCCATTTATTCCATCAAAACGGGAAAAGGGTTCCTTGTACTGTACTCAGCACCAAAATAATTTGCACAACTTCATATTCCTCAACCTCAGGATGTGCTCGAGGTTTTTTGCGTTTCCTTTTGAAAACAGAATGACCCTTACCTTGTTTGAAAACTAGTTGTAAATATTGATGTTCATATTTATGGTTTAAATTTCAATCCATAGCTAGCATCATGCAGAAGTGAAATTTATTTCATTTGCTACTTTCTGGTAGGTAAATAAGCATGTAGTTGGATATTGGATTGGTCAAGACTTGCTTGGAATTATCATCAATTCGAAAGTTTTTGATTCATAATATTTGTTTTTTTGGTCCAATAATTTCATCCTCATCTGATAACATCAAGCTTTTACTTTTAAGAAGTTACTGACACTGCATAGTAATCTAGTTACTTTTAGAAAGCTGCTGGTTTACATTTTTGAATTTTTTTTTTCATGGAAATGAGTATATTGGGACATGTAAACTGCTCTGTTCAGGCACACAGTTGAGCTGCCCAGCTGACTCCTTTTTTCATTCTTTCTTGCAGGGATATTGTATCCACACATGGGGAATAAAATTCTGCTTAAGGCTTTCTGTTTTTGGGCTTTGACATGCTTGCTTCTTCCTGCTAGCTCTAATGGTCTGGTCAGAATAGGTTTGAAGAAGCGCCATCTGGATCTTCATACCATTAAGGCTGCCAGAATTGCTAGACAGGAGGGACAATCAAGAGTAGGTGCTAATGGCATGGTCCATGATCTAGGCAGCTCAGATGGAGATATAATACCCCTTAAAAACTATTTGGATGCTCAATACTTGGGAGAAATTGGTATTGGTTCACCCCCGCAGAACTTCACTGTCATATTTGATACGGGAAGCTCCAACCTCTGGGTTCCATCATCAAAATGCTACTTTTCTGTGAGTTCTACGGATTGCTATGGTTTTATTCATACTGTCCTAAAGATGAGATCAGCTACTGACTTTCTATCACCTGCAGATAGCCTGCTATTTCCATTCCAAATACAAGTCAAGCCGGTCGAGTACATATATCAAGAATGGTAATTATTTGCTCTCTATTTTCACTACGTTTGAAGTTACATTACTAGAAGTAGATGTTGTAGGCAACATTGAATGCTATGTTATGAGCTTAAAACTCAACTTCTTTTTATCAAATTGTGATTCAGGGAACTCTTGTGAAATACATTATGGATCAGGATCAATTTCTGGTTTCTTTAGTCAAGACAATGTTCAAGTTGGGGACCTCGTTGTCAAAGATCAAGTAGGATATTCTTCCAGTTTACATATATTTGGAGAATCAATTTCTGGTTTCTTGTAGTACTGTGTGTGACTTTTCTACTCTAGGTTTTCATCGAGGCTACAAAAGAAGGAAGTCTTTCATTCATAGTGGGGAAGTTTGATGGAATACTTGGGCTTGGTTTTCAGGAAATTTCAGTTGGGAATGTTGTCCCAGTGTGGTATGTTTACTTCTGGACTGTAGTTCTTAGTTTGTGACTTGATTCTTCTCGGAAGTAACAACTTAGATTCATCTTGTCTGCAGTCCTTTCCTATAGTACCTTGAATAGACTGATTCATGAAAAGAGTACAGGTACAATATGGTGCAGCAAGATCTTGTAGAAGATGAGGTCTTCTCATTCTGGCTCAACAGAAATGCTGAGGCGAAAGAGGGTGGTGAGATTGTTTTTGGAGGGGTTGATGAAAAACACTTCAAGGGAAAGCATACCTATGTTCCAGTTACCAAAAAAGGTTACTGGCAGGTAAAAGAATTTCATCTTTGGAACAATGTCTAAACTTGTTATAATGTGCTATTTTTGAAGAGGGAAAACTGAGTTTTACTGTTGTTTCCCATTTTCAGATCAATATGGGAGATTTTCTAATTGGAAACCATTCAACAGGTGATCTTCAGTCAACTGGAGCATTGTTATGTTTATGTTATTTATGCCCTTTTCTCTGTATAAATCTTTATTGCCGTGGAGTAAAAACTGCCGTAGATAATCCTTGACATGAGAACTGTTAAACAGCTTGAGTCCTATTATTAAAGTATGAGTCACTTCTCTTGGAAATTGATGGATCTTAACATCAAATTTCTGTACATGGTCCGCCTCCTCCGACTCCACAAGCTTGCGACTCAGCTTTGATGCTAATTTTTTTACATGAATTCTAATGGAATTCCATATCTGTAAAACCAAACTAGTACATTGCCCTCAACCTCTTACAACAAAGCCTTCTAATACCTTCGTTAATTTCCCAGGTCTTTGTGCGGGGGGTTGTGCTGCAGTTGTGGACTCTGGAACCTCATTGCTTGCTGGTCCAACAGTACATTTCTTAGCCTTCTTGATGATTGGCTTCTTTCCAGACAGTCCTCCTTGCTTGACAGTTCAAATTTCCTCTCTTCTTTATGTTTTAACTGTTTCAAAGATATTCTAATAGCCATGATTTTCAGCCTATCATTGCTGAAATCAATCATGCCATTGGAGCAGAAGGGCTTGTGAGTGCTGAGTGTAAGGACGTGGTTTCTCAGTATGGAGACTTAATATGGGACCTCATAACATCAGGGGTGCGTTTGTCTTTAAGCTGGTTATTCTAAATACATTCCTGCTTTTGCTGATACCAAAATTTTATGCCATGGATTTCAGGTACAACCTGGCAAAGTATGCACGCAACTGGGTTTATGCACTTTCAACGGGGCTGAGTATGTGAGGTAAGGGGACTTTTGTTACATACTGGTTCATGATCTAACTTGTTTGGCAAAGAAATTTTGAACAAGATGACATAAGTCTTTAATTGTTTCAATCACATACATCCCAGCACAGTATTTCTGTCAAAGATTTCAAGTAGAGTAATTGATGGCAGTGTGTCATTGGAAGTGCATATTTTAGGATATTGGGGCAAATCGAAAGTTCATGAGTCATGATTGTTGGATTGCCTTGAATTTTTTTTTGAGGCTAAGCACTTACCAGCTCTACAGATTCCTGGGTGCATTAATAGAGAACATTCAATTTTTGAAAGTGCATATTTTAGGATATTGGTCCATCAGTTCTTACAAGGTACTTGAAAAACTGCCTCACTGGCATCTTTGATTGATATTAAAATGTTATTTCTTGTGCAGCTCTTGCTTCTCTTTGATTGATATTAAAATGTTATTTCTTGTGCAGCTCTGGTATTGAATCAGTGGTTGATAAGGAAAACATGGAGGGATCATCTGTTGGTGATGGTCTTCTATGCTCTGCTTGTGAGATGCTTGTTATTTGGGTCCAGAATCAACTGAGAGAGAAGGAAACAAAGGAGGCAGCAATCGACTATTTAGATAAGGTTGGCTAGCATCAAAACCCGGCCTCTTTTTCAGAAGCTCAAATCTGTGTGCTGAGTTTTGATTTTTGATCCTTAACAGTTGTGCGAAAGCCTACCCAGTCCAATGGGAGAGTCAGTGATTGATTGTAATAGCATTTCAACCATGCCAAACATCGCATTTACCATCGCAGATAAACCTTTTAGCCTCACTCCAGAGCAGGTTTGATTTCTAGTCTTGTTGTCTATGAACCGTGCAAGTTGAAATATATTATCACAAGCCTAGAATCTTGATCTTTATATTTCTAAAACCACTGTTTTGCTTTTCAGTATATTCTGAAAACTGGAGACGGCATTGCTCAAGTTTGCATCAGTGGGTTCATGGCTTTGGATGTGCCGCCTCCACACGGTCCTCTCTGGTATGCTATCTTAGCCATGGTTTCATAACTTCGGTGGACATATATTGCTTCTTTTTTTCCATGGTTTTTGTTCGAGTTTTAAGCTGAAAATATATGTTTTTGCAGGATTCTTGGTGATGTATTCATGGGAGTGTATCATACTGTCTTCGACTACGGTAACCTTGAAGTGGGTTTTGCAGAGGCTGCTTAGTGATCCTTTTGCAAGGTCGTTGTGATGTTGTGATCAGATGTTCCTATGACAATTGCTGTAGATTATTATGTAATGTGATGGCCTGTAAATGTTTGTGTTCATATGTTCCTATGATCTATTTGCATCCAACATCTACTAAAACGACAGTATTAGCATAACTTGCAAGAATGAAAGTTATGGAACATTTTAATTTTGAATGATCTAAATTAGGCTATTAAATGCTATGGCACCAAGTTCCCTTATTTTGATTAATTCTCATGGTCTGATTCCCTTGTAAGTATGTGAAGACGGGGCTGTTGGAGATATGATGTTAAGTATTTATGATCCTCCAGACCAGAATCAAAAGATTAGACTGGCGAATGCTGGCAATTCTCAATTTAATTGAATGCAACATGAAAGAATTTACCATTGATGATCAGGCATAAGAGAAGAGGTTTCCAATGAAAAGCACTTGTTGGTACGACTTGAGAAACTTCTGGCTTTCGCACTTTCTTATTAGATTCTGGTATTTATCAAATGTCAATTCAATGGCAATGGAGAGAAACTTCCAATATGCTTTGAGCCGCCTGCTCAACGAAAGACATGCATGTTCTTCCAAAATGATACGAAATTTCTTCTTAAATGCATAAATTAACATGGTCAATCAAACCATATTGTAATATAGAGCTCGAATTACTTCACTATCAAGTGCTGAAGCCGCTGTGCCACGGGGCTCAGGTTCTACTGCAAGAAGGACATCGAGCAGGGTCAAAGCTGATGAAGGAAAGTCCTGAATTAATGTCTCAGCAACACAACGTTTATAAGGATGTTAGAGGTTCAAAAATGGTGGCATATGGAAGTTTTGATCTCTTCCAGTACTCATCAGAAGGTGAACCACAAAGTTTGAACATTTTATGCAGTTGCTCAACCTATAAATGATAGACATAATATTCACCAGATGACATAATTTGGCGAAATCCGAATATTTACCAAGATTCGTTGATCAACTTTCCTGGCCACAATATTCAACAGGTGACAGTAACATTGGTCCAGCTGAGCTTTAGAAAAATGGAACAAACACATTGCTTGATGAATAAAGATATTTTCATTAATGCAAAAGCAACAAATTTTCAGGAACCTGATTGCCAGTGATCATAAATCTGAAATTAAACAATGCCATATATCAAGTCATGATGCTCGTCTTGCTGCTCTCACATGTAAAAGCCATCTTCTGTTAAATCCAAATACCAGAACAGAAAGAAACCTCCTTATAACAACAGTTGTTGATCTAAGAGATGTTTTTTCCTAGTTTAATCCAGAGACACCTGCTGTCACAGTGGTCAAGGTCAGGATGGTGAAACGGTTAGCCATTTATTGATGATACTCAATGCAGATCTTTTGACCAGCAGGTCTACTACGACAGGCATTCATGAGATGATCACTATCCAGAAACGCGACCTCATAAACAGGAAAACCTTTTTTTATATTCGCGTAATGCATAATCTTGGATGTTTCACCATAAGAAAATTGCTAATTTGAGTCAAGGATCAATACGAAAAGATTCAATATGCTTAGCAAAGTCTATAACACACAAAGGCATTATTGCAATTACATTAAAGGAGATACCTCTGTTCTTCCAGGCATGACAAGCTTTCCAGCAAACAATTCTGCAAGAATGAAACCAGTGCTCCGTAGATCCACGGCAACTCAATAGCCTGTGGCACGAAGCAAAAGCTCTGGAGGTCTGTACCACAGTGTAACCACCCGACTTGTAAGAGGCTGCTTCTGAGGTGAGTTCCAAAATCAGCAATCTTGAGATTGCCATTAGAGTCAATCTGAAGATTTGAGCCCTTTATGTCACGGGTGCAATATCCCAAAGTTGTGGCAGTGTTCAAGTTCATGAAGCAGCTGTTGCATGTAACATTTATTCTGCAGGAAAAAACTTCAGATCAACCTTTAAGAAACGAAAAGATTTGTGTAATTGATTAGCCAAGGCAAAACATATTCTTGGTCCAGAAGCAGGCTTGCTGGTCAATACTCTACAGGTATCTGTCTCATAACATACACGGGGACATGTTTTGCCTTATTGCATAGACTGTAATAGCATTCTATGCTCTGCTTGTGAGATGCTTGTCATTTGGGTTCAGAATCAACTAAGAGAAAAGGAAACAAAGGAAGCAGCAATCAACTATTCAGATAAGGTTGGCTTGCATCAAAACCCTGCCTCTTTTTCAGAAGCTCAAATCTGTGCTCTGAGTTTTGATTTTTGATCCTTAACAGCCATGCGAAAGCCTACCGTGTCCAATGGAAGAGTCAGCGATTGACTGTAATAGCATTTCAACCATGCCAAATCTCACATTTACCATCGGAGATAAACCTTTTAGCCTTACTCTAGAGCAGGTTCAGTTTCTATAATCTTGCTGCCTATGAACCGTGCAAATAGAAATATATTATCACAAGCCTTGAATTCTTGATCTTCATATTTTTAAAACCACTTATTTGTTTTTCAGTATATTCTGAAAACCAGAGACGGCATTGCTCAAGTTTGCATCAGTGGAATCATGGCTTTGGATGCGCCGCCTCCAAACGGTCCTCTGTGGTATGCTATCTTGGCCATGGTTTTATAACTAAGGTGGACATATATAGCTTTTCTTTGTCATGGTTTTTGTTCGAGTTTAAGCTGAAAATACATGTTTGCAGGATTCTTGTTGACGTATTCATGGGAGTGTCCTCTTAACTCTTCTACATCGGTAATCTTGAAGTGGGTTTTTGCAGAGGCTGCTTGGTGATCCTTTTGCAAGGTTGTTGTACTGCTGTGATCAGATGTTCCTATGACAATTGTTGTAGATTATTATGTAATGTTATGGCCTGTAAATGTTTGTGCTGTTTTAACCGTGTTAGGACCATACATTGATGATCCATTTGCATCCAACATCTATTAAAACGAGGCATTATCAAATTAAGAACTGATTTGGTTTAGCTAAGATGTACTCATCATTCTAAACTGCAAGTTTTTCCACTTTTTACTTTTTTTTTTGAAAGAGTCGATTTTTATTCTTAAAATCATGACTTTACATGCCAGAAGTCAATTCATAGAGTTTCCGATCTCTCCTTTTAAACCCTGTCGTCATTACATATTAGGAAGAGCTTAAAACCATAAAAACAACTATAGGATTACAAGGCACAGTGTGGAAGGACAGATTCATGGCAGAACTTCACTGTTCTTCATCGCTGTCATTGCTGAAGACAGAGGCTACTACTGATTTCGGCTTCTTTGCAGCTTTTGCAGATGAGTTCTGTACAGTGAATGCAAAGGGGTCACAATTTAAATAGAGAGCATACGACTTATTCAATTATCAAGTATCGATTTCTTTCACTCAAATTACTACAACATTGTCATATTGCTTACAGACGCAGGTGGCAAATTCAAGCAGGTAAGTTGAATAGAATCACATGTAACTTCTATCATAAGCAAGAAACAACAAATGCAATCTTGAGGCACCATTCAGCATTACTTTTCAGAAGGTCAAATACAACAAAGAAACAGAGTCTTGTTATTCTTGTTAGTATAAATCCATAACTGTAGAATTTTGTCATGAGGAAAGGGTGTTTCTCAAAGGTTCTTAACAAAAGCCGCCTTTATCCAGAAAGGGAATGCATTTTATGAATGCAATTAATCATAGGGAGTATTTTGCAAGTTAGAAAGTCCTAGCTAAGCAAGAATTTCTGCATACATGCAAGATAACTATTCATCTATGCTCCCTGCAAAGCATAGAGACCTCAATTGTTGGGGGTAGGGGGTAAGGACACTCGAATAATCTACCATGCTATTACCATATCAGAACAATCTATCTTGTCATGGCACATATGGCAGTTCATTTGCACATACATAAGCCATGAAAACAACTTCATCATCATCATACTGAAAAGCTTCTAAGAACAAATACAAGAGCTATAATGATATAATTCTATTTCTTCAGTTGCATACCTTTGAAATGCCACCTTTAGAAGAAAACCCAAATTTTAGTGCCTTCCGCTGATCCTGATCCACAAGAGCAGTTACACTTTTCTGCGAAGTACAAATCTGTGCAGACCCAGATTCTTCCTGTTGCTGCATCTGCTGCTCCTGTTTACGAGCATCTGCCCTATATTGCATAGGAGAATGTAAAACAAATGTGGTAAGGAAAAGATTTATAAAGACAATAGAGCACACTGAAATGGTTGAACTAGCAGATGCTTATGTGAAGGAAAACAAGAATGCTTACATCTGTGCAAACTTAGCCATCTCCCTCTCCTGTCGTTGCAGTTCCCGCTTTTGCCGATCATCACGACTACTAGTACCATGCATCTCTCTCATTTCCTTAAATCGCTGAAACCATCATCGAAGAGTAATAAAGATTTAGGACAAAAAATGGAAAGTAATAGCACTCACAGAGGTTGAAAGGAAACTCATTAAATGCAACCTTTCTATGATTATGATCATATGAACTCAGATGAGCTTCAAATTCCATAGCCAATTTGTATTGCTTGTTGCAAAGATCACAAAAGAACACCTTCCGAATCTCTTTCACCTCAGTTTGAATTTTCTGCTCCCGTTCAGCTAATACCTGAATTTTCATAATGTGCACGAAGCAGGCAGTAGAAGCCACCAGGTAATAAAAACTGCAGGAAATTCTCAAGAGCTTCGAAAGTTGATGCTCCCCTATGATAATACCATTCCCGTCAAAAGACACGCATATATGCTATATGCTGCCTTCTGTTATTAGATGTGGGTTTCAGGAAAACAATAGCATCAAGCTCAAAATATTATCTACCAGTCCAAATATTAATAATGATCCCCTACAAATTTATAAGCATACCTCCCGCTTTTTTGTGTCTTCCTCAGTTTCTTCAACCTCGATGTCAAGTTTCCTTCGCTGAATATTTTCTTCTGCAGTGAAAAAATCATCTTCTTCTTGTTTTCCAATTCCTAACTTTGGATCTCTAATACCAGATTTTATAGGCTCAACAATTCCTGAAAATAAAACCCAGAAGTTATTGTGAAAATTACAACATCATAGGTGAAGCAAACATTCCACAGAAAGCAATCCTATTGATGTTCTCATATCATTCAAACTAAAGGCAAATGATAGATCAGAAAATCTAACACTTCGCTCTACTTAGCAAGATAGCAGAGCAAGAATAACTGTGAATAAAATCTAACCAAAAAAATCAACAGTGAGTAGATATATCAGCATGTTTAACAGTTTCCAACCTGCGAAATTATATATCTGAGTTAAAGCTGGTGGTCTGACAATGAACACTATATTGGAAAAAAGGAGGTTTAAGAGCATCCAAAGGCAGAAAATATTGATTCATCAATGACTGTAGCTAAGGAAAGGTTTTTACGATAACTTTTTTGTTTAGTAGAAAATGGAGGCTTCGAGTATCAAACACAAAGCAGCACAATTCAACTTCAATGAGTTCAAGATCAAGTTTCAATACAGTAAAAAGTACATATTGCAAATCATCTCAAATAAAAGATTGAAAGCCACAAGACGCTGTTATTGTTGATATGGTGAAAGGCTGTGCTTGAATAACAAAAGTTTGGGTTCAAGTCGAACAACTACTAAATAAAAAAATGGAGAAAGATAAGACTATTCTCTAATATTCTCCTTCTCGGGACCCTATATCAATAAGGCCATAGCTAGAGGGCGTCATGCAAATCCAGTACAGATATTAGGCTCAACTAATGACATACCCTGCTCATCCTTTCCGAGACCCTTTCCTTTCCATCCCATTTTCTGAAGTAGCCTAAAACCAATATTTGATGCTGTCAAACTAGTGTCCAGTGATGCTTGTTCAACGTTGTCAAGATCAACATTTTCTGTGGGTCTGTGATTCTTCGGCAACCGAAAATCCTCTGCAAAATCCTCCATAAGAGAGTCCTGTCCAGCACACCACAAATACGGATGATAAACATCGCCACACAAAAGACTACATGATGCTCAAGCATTCACAAAACTCATAATGAAAACGTAAAAACGTGCATAAAGAAAATTCCATTAACATAGGAAAGTATAATGTCCATGTGAAAAACTTATGACCAGTAATGGATTGTGCAAATATTAGGTTATTTCCTTAATTCCTTAATTGATGAAATCTGCAAGCAAAACCACTTACGCAATGTATTGAATAAATTATTCTTTTTACAGCAAAGCAATAAATCAAACCTTATACAACGACCTGCAATTTATCAATAACATAGACCCGGTTCATGAACATAAAAAAGATCCTCTTTAACACTTTTCAATCTGTACCGAATAGGTTATGTCCCGTGCAATCCATCAGATAAGCAATAATAATAATAATAATAGAATTTAATAACCTAGAAGCACCTGCTCTTTGTCAAGCTGCTGTTTATTGTGGGTGCTTGTTTCCTGTTTATCATTGTACCATCTGCGATCCATTTTCTACCACCTAAGCAAGAATCAAGAATTAAAATAATAAAAAGGTTGATTCAAAGCAGAAGAAAGTGAAAAAAAAATGTGCTAGTTAAAATTCCAATAGAACATAAAATATAGCCAAAATAATCACCCTTCACGAAAACTATCCAAGGCTAGAAATGCAAGCTATTAGCTGATCCATTATAAATAAGAGAAGCGAATATGCATAACACAAGTAAACGAAGATTTTGTTCGCCACAAACAATGAGCATAAAATTTGAATTCACAATCTTTATGCTTGAACTTGATTTAGTTTATAAAATGCAGAAAAGAATTAAAAGAAAGTCTAAAATTCAAACAAGAACATCATTTTTTGTAAGCCTAAACTCCATAGCAGCCAAATAGGCCATAAATACTATGCAAAAAAAAAAAAAAAAAAAAAAAAAAAAAAAAACTCATTTCACATGCGTTTTACAAGCTCTACATCCATAGAGTCCCCTCAACAATGAAAACAAAACAGCAAATTTAGCTTCTTTTACAACTTCCTTAACCCAACAGTTGAAAAAACCAAACAATTAGCCTCTTTTACCGTTTCCTCCAAGTTTTAAGCTAATTCCTCAAAGGGACTTCTCGTAAAATTTCATTACAACCTAGGAAAAAGAAAAGGAGTTTCTTATGTAGCATACATAGCAACAAACACTCAAAAAAACTAAATATCTTCATGCCCTAATAAACTCTAATAAATTATCACAAATCAAACCTAAACCCACTAATACAAATCTCACAGAAAACATAATTAGCATCTCAAAATCCTATAAAGTGAATAAGATTTGAAGGCCCTAACTTTAAAGTCTGCTAAAAGTAAAGACCATGAATAGCAAGCAAAAAAAAAAAAAAAATCGGTTCAATAATATCAAAAAATAAAAAAGTTAATTAAAATTGATAAAAGTAAATTATGCTTACCTGATTATTAAGTAATGGATTAGAAGCTGAGCAACCGAACACCATCAAATGTCTCTGCTTTTTGTTATCTGCTTTGTCTCCGTAGTTTTGGTTAGTGAATCAAACCCCTTTATGACAAAACACGAACGCCAGAACACCCCATAGAATAATATTTTATGGGCTAATTATTTAGAAAGCTTAACCCAATATAGTTGGGTTTGGGCCAACTGAGTTTAATTGAGATAAATTGTGAGCTTGTTCGGCCCAAAGTATATATAAGAGTTCACCTCCTAGTGAGGTTAGAGGACGAAACCAAAGCTTGACGAAGAAGACCTAACGATTTTTCTTAATTACAAACCGACTCTGGAGAATACATAAACTGCCGTGATTATCGGGGTTAAAAGAAGGAAGAAGAAAAAGGAGAGAAAAAGAAAGAGAGGACGAAAAACAGAGAAAGGGTAAATGACAAATTTGATAATAAAAAATAAATAATTTAAAATTAAAATAGAGAAATCAAAATGAAAAGTAGGAAATCGAAATCACAATTCAAATCCAATTTCTATATTTACTATTTTATTATTGAGGATCAGAATAAAATAATGAAATAACAATTATTATATTTTATACATATAGATAAAAATAAAAATGATATTATATATTTACCAATATATCATTCAATAGCTATAATAAATTTTGTCATAAAATAATTAAAATTTTTTAAAAATAATTATATGATGATTTTTTTATTCTTTAAAAATAAGCTAATTGTTCTATACATAATTTTTTTTAATATATTATACATATTGTTTTTCTCTAAGATAGAAGTTTCAACAATAAACCTTCATGCTACATTATTATATTTTCCTTCTCAATCTATTTTAAATATTATTTTTTTATATGCGTTATATATTTTTTTCTCCAAATTATTAGTAATTTTTTTTCTAAGAAATTATAATTTTCCTACCGTCATTAGAGTATAGCCGGTAATTCTTAGACAAGTAATAAAACTATAGCAGGCCTAAATTAAGTGATGATATAGGCCCATAAACATTGCCTAAGCCTACAGTGGCAGTTACCCAAGTTCCGGCCCAAGATACTAAGAAGCCCACTTGTATATCATTCTACCAAACCCTAAATCCCCAAATCGATTTTGTTTCTCTTCCCAATTCAGTTCGTTTGCTTCATCTTCTGTCTTGCACGTATCACTTTGCTAGCTATGGGCGGAGGCGGAGCAGAGGCACTGGATGTGACATCCTATGTTGGACGATGTGCAATCTTGGTTTCTCAGTGCAGGTAAAGCTCGCCGTTTTTTTCAACTCAGTTTGATTTCCTGAGTTTTGATTCTATGAAAATGCTGATGTAATTGCAAAAAAAAAAGACATGCATTTAGACATTTCCTTTAACTCCAAAAAAATCGTATTATTTATTTGACATGAATAGTTGAAGTGAATTCTACTAAGAGAAAAGTGTGGATTGCGGGTTTAGGGTTTAAAGAGTAAGTGCTTACAAGAACTTGCTCTGGGTGATATGCTTCAGATCTTGAACATGGCTATTGGCTATAAAAAATGGATCATAATACATCAATCGGGATGGAAACCACTTAACATTGTTCTAACTCTGTTTTCCCCTCTATCAAATGAAAAGGACGAGTATTTTATGCCTGTGCTTTGTTTAGGGTATAGCTCTGTAGTTTTTCACTTCCCTTCAGTAGCATACTAATTCAATATTTGATGAATATAGTGATGTCTTGAATGAAGCCATATCAACATATGTTGGAAAATGGGCTCAGGAAAGCCTGCAGCTTCTAAACCAAAAGGGCAACAGGTTGTCTGTGGGAATAACCCAGAAAAGGGAAAAGCAAGCAGCAGCCTTCATCTCAAGTGGATCTTCCTGATGCTGAAATTGGAAAGCTGTGCCTGCGATTGCTTCTGAACCTAGTGGCTATCTTCACATCGGGCTCTCAAAACTACTATTTTGCTCAGCAGTACCAAGGTTGAATGATAATACGTAATAATATCGATTCATACAGATAGAGAAGAAAAGGTTCTCTATTGATTCAAACGCTGTACCTATGGGATAGGGATAGCGAAAGAGGAAAAAACCGAAGATTTCACATAGTACTTTTGATCGAAAAATCAATCTGATTTATTTCGTACCCTTCGCTCAATGAGAAAGTGGGTCAGATTCTACAGGATCAAACCTATGGGACTTAAGGAATGACGGAAGGGAATAAAAAAAGAAAAGAGAGACGCTTGGATCATACAAATCCATCAAAGGAAAGCAATGAATTTGTAAACAATCTTCTAAAAGATATCGAGACATTGGGTATCAAATATGAAACTGTTACACATACATCTGATTACTTACCCCCGGTTTATGGAAATGGCTGAAAATTTGATCCGCCAGGGTAAAGCTTATGTTGATGATACACCATGTGAGCAAATGCAGAAAGAAAGAGTGGATGGCATTGAATCAAATGTAGGAGCAACAGTGTAGAGGAGAATCTGAAATTGTGGAAGGAAATGAGTGCAGGATCAGAGAGAGGATTGCAGTGCTGTGTCCGTGGAAAGTTAGACATGCAAGACCCAAACAAGTCTCTTCGAGATCCAGTGTACTATTGTTGAAATCCTGTTCCTTACCATCTGATTGGGTCCAAATACAAGATATATCCAACATATGATTTTGCTTGTCCATTTGTTGATTCTGTACAAGGTATAGCTCATGCACTCTGATCGAGTGAGTATCATCATTGAAATGCTCAATAGGACAGGATTCAAGCAGATATGAAACTGCAAAAAGTCCACATTTATGAGTTTGGCTGGTTGAATATGGTATACCCCGTCCTCAGCAAACGTCATCTTCGTTGGTTCACATTTACGCTCGATTTCCAACTGTCCTAGGAATTGTTCGGAGGGGTTTGACAATCGAGGCATTGGTGCAATTTATTCTTGATCAGGTAATATCCATCACAAGTTTTTTTTTTCTTAGGTTACGCTTTTATCTTCTTAAAGTATTAATTCTAATTCTATATTGTTTCAGGGGGCTAAAAAAATCTGAATCTCATGGAATGGGACAAACTTTGGACAGTTAACAAGAAGATTATTCGAACATGAGAAATTTGAAGCGTGGAGAGATATTGCAGCTGGTGAGGAAGGGCTACTTTAGATGTGATGTTCCTTTTGGCAGACCTTCAAAGCCCGCAGTCCTGTTTGCAATTCCAGATGGCCGACGAGCAACCTCATTCGGTCATCAACAATGAGAGAGTGAAGAATGACTAATTAATTCATTTTTCAAAAATAGAAGGACTAATTTATAATTTACTCCAAAGGAATTGAATTTTGATACGAGTGAAAGTTAAAAGCAATGAGAGAGGGAGAGATTGGAGCAAGTTTGGGAAAGGAAAATGTATTTTCCATCACCATCTTTTCTTTTCAAATATATATCCCAAACTTTCTTCACTCTTTAATATGTCGGAAAATTCCCTCAACCTGTTCTAAAGAAAGGAAGGTAGTGAAGTTTCTTGCTTTCTTTATCCAAAAAGCAATGGGTGTATAACCTTAAGGTGTTGTTTGTTTACCAAAAATATAAAATATAACATGAAAATGGAAGAATTGGAGTGAAAATTAAAAAATTGTAATGATATTTGTATTTTCATATTATATTTGAAATAATAAGAAGAAATAAAAATGAAATTTAAATTTATTTAATATCTAATTTTTAATACAAATAAGAATTATGATTAAAAAAATAATTTCATTAATTATGATAATAGTAAAAATTATAGAGATGATTGTAGTAGCGACGATGGTAGTAGAGAAGGAGGAGGAGAAAGAGGAGGATATGATAGTAATAATAACATAGTAATAAAAATAGTATAATTTAAAAATTTTGATACAATCAACATAAGTGGTGGCAATGAGAGAAGAATGGTGAAAAATAAAAATATATATTAACTATGATAGTAGAAAAAATTATAGAGATGATTATAGTAGTAGTGGTGGCGGTGGAAAAAGAGAAAAAGAAGGAAGAGGATGTGATAGTAATAATAAGAATAATATAATTTAAAAAATTTGATACAATGAACATAAGTGGTGGCAGTGAGAGAAGAATGGTAGTGGTATAATGAAAATGATGGTGTTGGTGAAAAAAATGATGAAGTAATAATAATAAAAAAGAATTATCACCATTGTTGGTGGTAATGATGGTGTTTGTATAATAAAAATGACAACAATAGTAAAAAAAGAATGACGATGGAATAATAATATTTTTAATTACCTTTGTCAATGGTTGTTGTGGTAGTAATATAATTAAAGTGATAGCGATCGTTAAGAAAAACCGATGATAGAATAATAATAGTTTTTTTTCAATTTTTTTGATCATTTATCTTCAATAGAGGCGATGGTAGTGGTAAAAATAGTTGATACACTATAAATAAAAATAATATAAAAAATTCATTCATATTTTTTTTGTTTTATTCTCACCTCATACGGATAAAATGAAACTGTGTTTAATTTCTATTTTCATTCTTAATTTTTATTTATATTTTTATTTTATTTTTTTCAACCAAACAGTTATAAAGTAAAAATATACCTTTCATTCTTATTCTTACTACTCTATTATTGGTAACTAAACATCACCTAAGGGATTGATTTAATAATTAACAAGATTTATTTTTTCTCTTAATTTTTAAGTTTGAATTTTAGACAAGTATCTACATAAACTTATTCTATTGAAATTTGAATGTGTCGAGTAGATGTAAAAAATATATTCTTAGAATTACTTGAAAAAAAAAATTACTTTCAGTTGCCGTGTAAATTGATGTGATAATATCCTTTACTTTTTAAAAGAAGAATTATGTACAATAATTGGTAGTCTACGAATAACTAATTCGGGACATATATTCTCAAATCTCAAGAAGAACATGTAGTATAGAAAAAAAGGCTGAAGAAAGGCGAAAATGTTCGGAGAAGGGACTCAAATCTTTTTTCTGACGAGGAAAACCATCATATCAATCATTTTCTATCTCAGAGGACAAATACTCACAGCTCTATGTATATGGATTCCACGAATGTTCATAATGAAGTAATTAGTTAACTATACCCATCAAAATGAGTTGCGTTTATAGATAAAATTAGGGATGAAATTGATTCAGGTATCTGGCTATTAGTTCAATCCTTTATTCTGTCGATTATGAAAATATTATGTCTATATCTATTAAAATACTGTACTCTAAACTTATATCCAATCCCTACTCAATTTACTTACATATTTCATGTTCGTTAAAAATAATTTATAAAATATAAAATGAGTATTACGGTAATTTATATAGTTTTTTTTTAGTCTTATCCCCTCAATGCATATTATATTTAATTTTTTAATAGATAGATATTTTTTGAATCGGTTAAAAGATGTACATATTTCATATGTTTATTGATAGTGGATATATTTGACAATGTGAATTTTCTCCCATTAATTATTCTTAAACAAATTAAATTAGACTCAACAAGATGATGAGATAATTTCCAAGCACAAGAGGTGTAGTGCTCAAGGTTGAGACTAAAGTGAAAAATTAAATTGTACGTAGAAACTTCTTCCTTCAAGCATACGTACCTCACCTAAACCGGCCAAACTCTTTGGTCAATATAAGGAAGATTAACTGGCCAGAAGCAATATTTGTTTAATGATTAGCAGTTAAGTATGAGCCAATCAGAATGAAGAAACCCTACATGGCCCAGGACTTTAAATCCATATCAATCATCAAAGAATATATACAGAAGAGGTTTCTAGTTATATACATATAATATATAGATATATGTCAAAAGGTATTCCTCCTAGAATAAGCACCCTTTTATTATTAATATTTATCGATGAGATTGTTATTGCTTACAGCAAGAAGGCATTATACTTGTGTGTGTGTATATTATATATATAATTTTATGATTAAAAAAAAATGTCCCCAGCAAAAAAAATAAAATAAAATAAAAAGGTTATAAAGTGAAATTAAAAAATGGAATAAAAAAAATTATAGGTTCCGTGCAGTTGAGTACAAGTAGGGAATGCAAATATATACATATATGTATATTAAATTCTGGCCCTTAATATATTTGATTAATTAGTGTTTTTAGATACAACCTTAAAGCTAGACAGCTTGCATTAATTCTCTGTTGTAAAACACTATGGAAACGAACATAACCCTTTTTAATCAATCATCACCAAGCTTTTTTTGTTGCTGTATTCAACAAAACTTAGCTTTTTATATTAAGCTATCTATAACGTTAGACATATCTATTTTAATTAATTTCGAAAATTTCTATTTAAAAAAAAACATAATGTACTTGCGATTATAAACATTATTATTATTGGTCTACTGATGTATTTTTAAATGTTAGCATTGCATTGACATTATAGGTGACCAATTATTTTCCAATTCATGAGAAAGATCGTTGGACCTTAGCTAGGCTATATAATAACAGAGGATAAGCTTTTTTTCATTGCATAATAGTAACTAAATAAATTAAAGTCATTAATTAGGATGGAAGACTAGTTCTCTTGCTAGAAATTAAGGGGGAACCGACCTTTTCTAATAATAATAAAAAAATTAATCTGAAACAATTTAATTAATCAAAATCCAGCTTGCAAAGAAGTGCATGAACCATATAGTTCAAATTAAAAAGAAATCTTGAAGTATCTATCTTTTTGACCTCTTTTACAGACGCTTTACATTAATTTATACCTTTCTCATCCTTTTCTTTTTAATAAACAAAGTAATGCTTAAAATATGAGTATAATTAGAAATACCAATTAACTCTAGTTAATTGCATGTTTAACTAATTAATATTGTCCATGAGTAATTAAGTATAAAACGTGTCTTACTTAATTAGTTTTAATTTTAATGTCACGTTCATAGATAGTATCTAGTGAATTATATATACAATTTCTGAGAAGGATACCCTAATCCAAATTCTAGCTAGTGTATAAAATATTAATAAATTATTCTCTAGTTCCTTTGCTTTGAATATATTTTTGAACTCTGTAAATCATTATAAATATATACGTAGGTAATTAATAAGGTAAATGTGATCCATAGACTTCGTAAAAGATACGCAAATATCCAAAATCTAAATGGAATAATTGAAAATTAATTATATATATCACATTGTTACATGCTTGTTGTTAAAGAATAATAAAATCATTTCAAGGGACTTTATTTAACAATTTAAGTTTTTGAGTTGAGATAATCATTTAGCATAGTATTAAAAACTTAATTAGTTCATCTTTTGAGGTTCTGTCAAGTGTTTTGGATTTTAGATCTCTTGCAAACTCGATATCATATAGAGTTAAATAGTTGATATTGAGTTTCATCTAAAAAACTTAAACCTTGTGTTGAATAGCCATTTTTTATCGTTATATATTACTCTTTTTTGTTTAATTATTTATTATGAGATATGTTCTCTAACACGTATACATTTGCTTCATATGTCTCCTGCTCGGTGTCATACTATACATGTATGTTGCCTAAAAGGATGCATATATATATATTCTCCTAATTATTAACTAATCATTAATTATTACGAAAATGAAAAAAAAAAATGTAGCCATGGCAATTTTTTTTTTTTTTTTAATTAGACAACTTAAATTGGTATACCTGAGAAGAGAAGAAGAAAAAAGGTGTCAGATTGGAAAGTTCATTGGAATTGTGAACAAAAAGGTAATGAATTAAGAATTCTTCAAAGGAGATGAAAAATGGTAGGAAGGACCCTAAAAAATTAGCTAGGTATTCCACAACTACAGAGTTAAAGGTATATGAAATGGATGCAAATTCAAAGGAGGAGAAAACATGTATGGTTCTGAAAAGGAGAAGAAAGCACAAGGAAGAGTGGATTAGAATAGACGAAGAAGAAGAGGAGGAGGAGGAGGAGGAGGAGTAATTGCACAAGAAAAGCAGAACAAGTTGATTGATGGTATTGCTTGTTTGTTCGGGTCAACAGTGGCCTAGAAAATTGATCAAGTTAATTTAAGTTGCGGACCACAATCTATATGCTTTGCCCTTAAGTTTTACTAAAACAGTAGATCGAGGATCATGATTTCCCTCTCAAATATGCCTTGATATTTTGAACATGTCCATTCCACGGTGACCCTTGAATTCTCTCCAGATTCTCCACCCAAATAAAAATCAAAAGATTCCCTCCTCCTAAGCTAACCAACCCACGACCTCCTACTATATAAATCAATACACAGCTCTTGCATTTCTCATTTCAAAACCAACGAAACACACTTTGCTTAATTACCTTACCTACCTGACCCTTCCCTTCCTTCTCATCGACGCTTGGAACAACACATTGTATACTAAAATATGGGTGGCACCAAGCAAAAGAAGTCTTCTGCTTCCTCTTTCTTCAGCTTGTTCAAGGCTAGAAGGCCTCGACGAACGGGGGAGGATGCATACTACGACGATGTAATGAGTCCACGAAAAATCCGGCCTTTCGACGATGACAAAGGTCCACTTGTTGCTGTCAAGCCTGATCCTCGTGTCGACTCTAAAGCTTCAGTTTTCATTGCCAACTTCCATGCAGCTCGAATCTCAGAATCCGAACGCCAAATTTTTCAGCAATCAGCTGGAAAGGCAGCTTAGCATAGCGAAACGTTGTTTAGCTATGAGCCAATGGTTAACATGTCCATATTGTAATATTTATTTGTTTAAATTTGTGTATTTTGTGTTCTTCAATAAATAGTTTGTCTCATCAATTCAAAGTTAACTAATAATGGAATTTTATGTATAAAAATTTGTTATTTCAATGTACTGTTGATCTTTCATGCACGCCTAGCTACTTTCTTCCTTCTTCTGATCGGTACTTTTCCATTAGTGGGAGCTCTGTAGCAACAGAACTATGTATCAAGTACATGATGATGAGGTTCAAAAATTTACAATTGGCTTTGAAGGTATATTTGGAAATTAAAGTACACACACACAATATATATATATATATATATATATATATATATATATATATCTTTGGGAAGAATCTTAATTTATGAAACCAGCTGCAGTTCATTCATAGAAAACTATGGATACTGCATGCAATGTGCTCTTTTTCTTTAGAATTTGCTGCTGTAACTTCTTCTTGATGGTAGGCTAGCTAGCTATAATTTTTTATTTGGATATCCTATTAGCACAAATCATATCGATTTGAAAAGCTTATTTGTTTGGATATCTGATTGGCACAAATCATATCGATTCGAAAAACTTACTTAGATACCAACAATATTGGATGATGTGGTAGCCATCATAAGCCATTTTTACGTTAAAATCCACTCTAAAGACCCATTTTGGAATCTTTTTATGATCCCAGCTTACAAAATCAATCCAGATTGCTCTAGTTTAAGAATTAAGACTTTCTATTTCTTTTTTCTCTTAATTTTTTAATTTCTAGCTTAGTCCTTAATCAACTAAGATAGTAATAACTTCTGAATTTCTAGTTTATTTTATTTTTTAATTTAACCCTTAATCAACTGGGATAGACTACTTATATTGCCTATAAACCTTTAGCCATTATTATAATATTATTTTAAAAACTTAGATCGGAGGTAATAAGATTTAAATTCATGATTATTTGACTGATAAAGCTCGATATCACATTTAAAAAATTATTTCAATCAAAAAACTTAAACTATTAAACGAGGATTAAGAATGATTTTATATCGGTTACTCCTTAACACTAAATAACCCTGTATTGATGCGCTATACACTGCATCACAAGTACCTATTTCTAATAATTAAAATTGATTTCTACCGTCTTAATTAATTGCATCAAAAAAAAAAAAAAAAAAGAAAAAGCAATTGATTCATGCATATGAAAATTATATATTAATTTCCAAGTTATTTCTAGTTAGCAAGAAATAAATAATTAAGAGTGTCGAATATGTACGTACAGTGACTGTTAGTACTGGAATCTAACATGTTTCCAAGAAGAGGGGCTGTGTTTCTTGATTGGTGCCATTATTATTCTACATACTAGCTATATATGTATATACACATACGTACAATCTTCTTTCTCAATCTTGATTATTAATTTACTTTTTGGATTTTATACCCAGTCTCTATATAGAACAAATTAATCTGTCAATTACCTGTTCTTCTTTTCTCTTTCACCCCACTTTTTGGTCTTTAATTCTTTCTACTTGCACACAGAATACTATGCAGCAAACTGATTGGTCAATATATACAAACCAAAAGCAAAGATTAAGACTGGCAAAATTAAGGGTTAAATTTTACTTGGTCATGAATTTGCAGAAATTAAATTAGTAAGGAAGGAAGGGAGGCAGGTAGGCAGGAATAAAGTTCAAATAATTCTTGTGGGTCAGGTGCATGTGGAGTCTCTTTCTAAAACAAATAAGATAGGCTCTGATAGACCAAAAGATTGGTGCGACCTGGTGTAGTGACTGTAGTCAGTCTCAGGCCAGTCTCAGGTCGCAAAGGACTGATCAATCATAATTTGAAATACCAAATGACCTTTTAAAACTAACTGATAAATCATAATCTACTGATCAATCATAATTTGAAATACCAAATGACCTTTTAAAACCATAAATTTAAATATAGATTAAAATAGATTTCGAATATATAAAAATTTAAACAGAAAATAAAATAAAAATTTGGATTAAACGATGAAAAATTGAAATAGGCTTTAAAAGTACAATATTTATAAGAATAATTTAAATAAATCAAGATAAGATACCAAAAGACCTCTTAAAATCATAAAGATAAATATAGATCAAAAGAAAATAAATTTTGAATATATAAAAATTTAAACCAAAAGTAAAATAAAAATCTGGCTTAAAGAGATAAAAAATTAAAACAGTATCTAAAAATACAATATTTATTTTATTATAATTTATACCATAAACACTTGGTTAAATTAAAATTCCTCCAATATAGACTTAATTCAAAATGACCTCATAATGTCAATTCAAATGAATGAATCTAACGTCTATTTTATATATGCAATGCAACAATTAATGGATCAAAATAATTGTCTGTGAATCAAGAGAAAAGGAAGGGTGAGGGTTGAAAATTAACCTTGAGAATGATAATATCCTTACGTACCAATATAATTCAGGGGGAATGCATCAATCGGGTGGCATACATGACATGTTAGATTCTCAATGTAACGAACTAAACTAGCTAATAATAGACCAACCCTCCTGTATTTTAGGGTTTCTTTGCAAGGAATCCTGCCATGTTTGTACAATATTCTTTCTCTTTTGCATAAAGTATGATACATACATACATATATAGCTTTATTAAATCAAATTTCCAACAATTGATTGCTAGTTGTTTTGATGCCTTGTTAATGAAGAAATTAATTTGAGGGCTTAAATCCAAGATGCTTTTTGTTAATGGGATCAAGCTATGCACTGACGAAAACACATACATACATATATTGCATAAAAAAATTGAAAGAAAAATCGGCACAAAAGACATGACTAGATTAGATACCAAAACTAGCAAATTTAATTGGGAATCATATATAGTAAATAATTCTGTATAATTCCCTCTTGAGCGGTTCTTTTGTGTCTCGCTGAGATATTAACGTTGGTTGATGATGAAAAGAAATGGAAAAAAAGACAAAGTATAAGGAAGTTGCAATTGTATCGATACCAGGCTAGCTAAAGCGAAGACAACGGGGTCTTGCTTGCCTTTTTGTATAGCTGTAAGGAATGGCAACCATCTAAATTAGTAAAAGTTGAACTTTTGTCGTTTCTTCTGATTATTCCTCATAAGTAGTACTCCCTTTTGATGGTTCCACCATATGCATGTGCTTGCTGCTCTATTAACCTTCCAAACTCTCCTTTTTCTACTCCACTATGCCATGCTTACATCTTTTCGTTACTTTTTTAATTTTCCTGATTCCATTTTCATTTTTTTCCCTATCTTTTTAGTTCAATTCATTCTCGTCGATCTTATAAGCTAGTCAAAAATACTATTTGCTAGCTGCTGCTGATTAGTTTCAAAGTATATGGCATTATATTGGTCAATTTTCACATCAATCGTAACTAAGTCTATTGTTTTTTTGAATTAGATTATGATTGGATCATGTCGAACATTTGATCGATTTTAAGAATCGGACTCTTTGAATCCACCGACGAGTCTAGTTTCAAAGTAGTTTATAATAGATACATTTTTTAATTTGAAAGTACTAATTAATATTAATATAATTTTTAAAATGCTAGCTAAAATTAACTTATTATAATATATACTTGTTTGAATGCATATGTTTGCTTAATTTTTATAATTTAAGCAACAAATTAAGGATCTACTAGTTGATAATTATAAAACTATAATTAATTAAACAAAAAATTGAATTTATAGGTGTTTTAATTTATCCAAGTCTAACACTATAAGAAAAACTATCGAAACTTTTAGTAGGGGATTAGAGATGATTAACTATAGAAAATAGCAACCGATTATTAATACCATCACTAAATGGTTGCTATTTAGCAATAAGAATATTTTTGTCATTAAATGTTGAAATTTTGGACAACCTTTGGAGATTCAAAGGCACGCCAAACGTTGTTATTTAGAAATAGACACTAATGTGTGTCCTTAAATAGCGACGGATCGGTGACTTTTCGTCACCGATCTAGGTTTGTTTAAAACTAAGGCAAATTCCTCTCCCCTCATTTTCTCCCATTTCTCTTCCTCCCTAACGCTATCACCCCTCCCCTAACCCCTCAAATCCTCCACAAAAATCTCCGAATTCACAACCTTTTCAAACCTCGTTTCTCTCAAAAAATCCAAGTGTTTTCTTCCTTCATTTTGGTCAAATTCATCCGAATTGGTTTAGTTGTTTATCTCTTTTGTTTTCTTAATTAACGTTAGTAATTCGTTATAACTCGTTGGGTTAATTTTAAGAATAATTGCTTGATTTACAATTATGTATACATTTAATTGCTAGATTGCTGATTTATTTGTTAAATTATTAATTTTTATCAATTTTTTTGTTTGATTTGTTAATTAAGTTGTTGAATTGTTGATTTTTTTTAATTGTGACGTTAATTTGGTAATTAAATATAATTTAAAGTTAATCAAAACTAATTTGTAATTAATTAAGTTTATTTTTTTTAATGTTTAGTTAATTAAATGTAAAATGTTTGTTAATTAAGTTCATTTAATTGTTATTTTGAATTTAATTTGGTTATAATTAGAATTAATTAAATTAATTTGATTTATATTTAGTTAGTTAATTAATTAGGTTAATTATGTTTAACTAATTTTTTTTTAATGTTTAGTTAAGTAAATGTAAAATGTTTGTTAATTACATTCATTTAATTGTTATTTTGAATTTAATTTGGTTATAATTATAATTAATTAAATTAATTTGATTTCTATTTAGTTAGTTAATTAATTAGGTTAATTATGTTTAATTGGTTGGATTAGAATAAATTTGTTACTTAATTTTTTAGATTTTAATTAAATGCAAAATTTTTATTGATTAAGTTAATTTAATTGTTATTTTGTTAATTAAATGTAAAATTTTGTTAATTAAGTTAAGTTAATTTTTATTTTAAATTTAATTTGGTTAGAATTAGAATTAATTAAGTTAATTTGAATTATGTTTAGTTAATTAATTA